AAATAAAGGGATTAAGGAGGTGAGGATGACCAAAATAAACTCTAAGACTAAAGTCCTGAGATGAACGTTAATGAGTGAATCCAAAGCTTCTGAATTGGATTCCATTAATGATATCGAACTGATCTCGCAAGATAGAACGAAACAGGGGAAAAGAATGCGGGCCCTTTGTGACATATAAAGGCATAAAAGGAAATTGAAAAGATCAATGAATTGAAGAGCACTTCCTTTCACTTAGATAGGAGCATTGCAATAGCCTGGGATCTCAACTGTCCAAGCAGAATCACCATCACCATGTAGCAGGTCCTTTGCAGAAAGTCGCTTTCATCACGGTCTGCCTAAAAGAAAATCAATCTCTCGCCAGCTCTCCCGCCTCATGTACTTTCACCCTCAAGGAGTCACTTATATCATGTGCCCATGTCGACCCCTGCCCCTCCTTCCTGGTACCATGCCTTCTGCATTTTTTTTTCCAATCCACTGGATATGACCAAAATATTTCTGATCCGAGACAGGATGCTGTTTATTAGCTAATCTTCCTTGATGTTCAGATCTCTCAAGATGTCAGTATTTCTCCTCTTCTTTGTCCAAGAAATTATGAGAATCTTTCTATAGCATTTTAGCTCAAAGGCCCCTACTCTCTTTCTTAAGGACTGAGAGATAGTCCACGACTCTCATCCGTATGTTGCTACGGGGAAGATGGGAGATAGTCCACGACTCACACCCGTATGTAGCTACAGGGAAAATGGGAGATAGTCCACGACTGTCACCCATATGTTGCTACAGGGAAAATGGGAGATGGTCCACGATTAACACCCGTATGTTGCTACAGGGAAGATGGGAGATAGTCCATGACTCACACCCGTATGTTGCTACAGGGAAGATGGGAGATAGTCCACGACTCACACCTGTGTGTTGCTACAGGGAAGATAGGAGATAGTCCACGACTCACACCCGTATGTTGCTACAGGGAAGATGGGAGATAGTTTATGACTCACATCCGTATGTTGCTACAGGGAAGAAGCAGAATAGCAACTTCCAACAAGAACTGTTCACAGGAGACAGGCAATTTACAATCTCCTCGAAACAATGTTCATTGGCTGTTCTGTCAAGTGAAGGCACCATTTTAGTTTGTCGTTAATCTAAGCAATTACTCTCTCTCTCTTTCTCTCTCTCTCTCTATCTCTCTCTATCTCTCTCTCTCTCTTTGCTCTCTCTCTCTCTCTCTCTTTCTATCCCCATCCCCTCACACGCACCTCCGTCGAAAAGTTACACCAAATTACCTTCCTTCAACACGTAGATTACATTACCCACTAGTTCTCAGCTTCTCACAAGGTTCCCTTCACTCGACAAACGACTGGCTTTCTTTAATCTTCTTTTGATCCGTTCTGAGCGAGGTCCTCTCTTCCACTGTCGGCTTCACTCATTTTTGTATAAGTCACTCGGTACTGAGTAGTTTATGTGTAGATGAAACAAAGTCGGTCTTCTTTATTTCCCATAACATTTCTAATATGAACTGTAGGCTTAGTCGGTCTGCAAGCTCAGTGAATAAGATCATTGTTACATTACTATTGTGAGACTGGTGGTGTTGTATTGGCGCCGAGAATGTTTCTGAAGTTGATGGTCTTAGTGATGTGAATGATGATGCTTAGGCGTTGACACCATGTTACTGTTGGCGTAATGAGGAAGCTTTGGCTGTTGTTCTGCCTTGACGGTATTATGCCTTCCTGTGTGGTTACTGATAACTGCAGTAGTTGTATTTATGTGACAGATGATAGCGGCAGTAGTTGTATTTCTGTGACAGATGACAGCTGCAGTAGCTGTATTTCTGTGACAGATGATAGCCGCAGTAGTTGTATTTCTGTGACAGATGATAGCCGCAGTAGTTGTATTTCTGTGACAGATGACAGCTGCAGTAGCTGTATTTCTGTGACAGATGATAGCCGCAGTAGTTGTATTTCTGTGACAGATGATAGCCGCAGTAGTTGTATTCCTGTGACAGATAATAGCCGCAGTAGTTGTATTTCTTTGACAGATGATAGCCGCAGTAGTTGTATTTCTGTGACAGATGATAGCCGCAGTAGTTGTATTTCTGTAACAGATGATAGCTGCAGTAGTTGTATTTCTGTGACAGATGACAGCTGCAGTAGTTGTATTTATGTGACAGATGACAGCTTCAGTAGTTGTATTTCTGTGACAAATGACAGCTGCAGTAGCTGTATTTCTGTGACAGATGATAGCCGCAGTAGTTGTATTTCTGTGACAGATGATAGCCGCAGTAGTAGTATTTCTGTGACAGATGATAGCTGCAGTAGTTGTATTTCTGTGACAGATGACAGCTGCAGTAGCTGTATTTCTGTGACAGATGATAGCCACAGTAGTTGTATTTCTGTGACAGATGATAGCTGCAGTAGTTGTATTTTTGTGACAGATGATAATGGCAGTATTTGTATTTTTGTGACAGATGATAATGGCAGTATTTGTATTTCTGTGACAGATGATAATAGCAGTATTTGTATTTTTGTAACAGATGATAATGGCAGTATTTGTATTTTTGTGACAGATAATAGCGTCAGTTTTTGTATTTCTGTGACAGATGGTAGCTGCAGTAGTTGTATTTCTGTGACAGATGACAACTGCAGTAGCTGTACTTTTGTGACGGATGATGGTGTCAGTATTTGTATTTCTGTGACATATGATAGCGTCAGTATTTCTTTTTTTGTGAGAGATGATAATGCCAGTATTTATATTTCTGTGACAGATGATAGCGTCAGAATTTGTATTTCTGTGACATATGAAAGCGTCAGTATTTCTATTTTTGTGACAGATGATAGTGGCAGTATTTGTATTTTTGTGACAGATGATAATGGCAGTATTTGTATTTTTGTGACAGATGATAATGGCAGTATTTGTATTTCTGTGACAGATGATAGCGTCAGTATTTGTATTTTTGTGACAGATGATAATGGCAGTATTTGTATTTTTGTGACAGATAATAGGCTCAGTTTTTGTATTTCTGTAACAGATGATAACTGCAGTAGTTGTATTTCTGTGACAGATGACAGCTGCAGTAGCTGTATTTTTGTGACGGATGATAGTGTCAGTATTTGTATTTCTGTGACATATGATAGCGTCAGTATTTTTATTTTTGTGAGAGATGATAATGGCAGTATTTATATTTCCTTGACAGATGATAACGTCAGTATTAGTATTTCTGTGACATATGATAGCGTCAGTATTTCTATTTTTGTGACAAATGATAATGGCAGTATCTGTATTTTTGTGACAGATGATAATAGCTGTATTTGTATTTTTGTGACAGATGATAGCGTCAGTTTTTGTATTTTTGTGACAGATGGTAACGGCAGTTTTTGTATTTCTGTGACAGATGAGAGAGGCAGTATTTGTATTTCTGTGACAGATGATAATGGCAGTATTTGTATTTTTGTGACAGATGATAGCGTCAGTATTTGTATTTCTGTGACAGATGATAACGGCAGTTTTTGTATTTCTGTGACAGATGATAGCTGCAGTATTTGTATTTCTGTGACAGATGATAGCTGCAGTATTTGTATTTCTGTGACAGATGATAGCTGCAGTTTTTGTATTTCTGTGACAGATGATAGCTGCAGTATTTGTATTTATGTGACAGATGATAGCGGCAGTATTTGTATTTCTGTGACAGATGATAGCTGCAGTATTTGTATTTCTGTGACAGATGATAGCTGCAGTTTTTGTATTTCTGTGACAGATGATAGCTGCAGTATTTGTATTTATGTGACAGATGATAGCGGCAGTAGTTGTATTTCTGTGACAGATGATAGCTGCAGTATTTGTATTTCTGTGACAGACTGTACACCACTGGTCAGGCACAACGAGTAGTGACCTCAGAGTCGGTTTCAGTCATAAAGGTCTCGTACATGAAAACTGCCGATTGACTGTGAGTGACATTGCCGCACATCTTGACATCAGTCAAGGTTCAGTACGCCACATCGTTAATGCGTGTGCTACAGCCTTCAACGGGTGAATCTCAGTCTCATCACAGCACGACACTTGCCAGTTTTTTAAACTTTCATAGCTATGATATTCTTTATTTCACCGTTGTACTCGTCGATCCCTACCCCCTCTTCTTGGAACCATACTATTTATAATTGTTCTCTCTAAACCAAAATGACATCAATACTTTGAAAACATTTCACTTCCCTATACAAAATACTGTCTATGAGCCGATATCTCTCTCTATGTTCATATCCAACATAATATCACTATTTATTGTGTCTAAGTCCATAATTTTGTAATAATCTTTCTGTAAAGTTTAGGTTTAAACACAATCCCGATCTTATCGGTTTATGAGCCCTATTGTACCATCAACGTTTGTCTCCTAAGTGGTCTAATGGCTTTGTTTCTGCGCTTTCACTGCGACGGCGAGGGTTCGATTCTCTGATTGGGAAGAAAATTTTCAATTATTATACTTAGTAATATGTTTGTTTACAACTGAAGATATTAGCAAACGCATCCCAGGATTTGTAATTACAACCTGGATGTCGCTAATTGTGTTAATTAATATCTGTCAAGTGACGTGATAATAGAATAATGTATATAGGGAGTGCTCGGCTCTGTGGCTAAGTCGATGCGAACGCTTTGTAATGCCGGGATGCCGGGTTCGATCCCAGCTGCGGGCCACGCGCCTTGCATTGGTTTCGACAGTGGTATCAAGAAAACCGACCGTCCAGGAAGCAATGGCAAACTACTGGATGTAAAATTTGCCTAGAGAAACCACACAACAGCCAGAAGCTGTTAGGGTTGGTTCTGCAACGTCCTGTAAAGGGTACGCAACTAACCTTAACCATATAGGGAGTGAGACAAGGAGGGCAGAATGTAAGACGGGCCGGACCTACTTGCCTAATTCTGAACTCTTTGAAAATAAAGAGTTCGTTTGTCCTAATTCAGTAAGTTCCAGAATGCACCTATCGTGTAATGGCACTAACAATGAATTGACTGTCCAGGAGCAGATAGACGAGATGAAGAAATGGTTCCAAGCTTTCAAAGACCAAAACAAAACAGAAAGAGATTATACAAAGTACTTCAAACCAGTGCTGTGCTATCTGGAGGGAGCCTGGACATTCAGCGAAGAGTTGGAGGAACCGTTCCCCAGTGACAGGCATCAAATAGAAGCTAAATCTTGGCAGGAGTTGCACCAGAAGGTAAACACAATTAATTATGCTGTGGCTTAGTGGTTCTGTATTATTTAAAACTAACGGACACCTTTTGTTTTCCTCCAAAGGCCAGCCACGGACTCAGCCTTTTAATAGCCAGTCACTTATACATTGTCCTGCTGTGCCATTGTATGTCATATATTTTTTTCCTCCATTAGGTTCTACCCTGCGCAATCACTTCCCTATCATGGATAGAACCCAACCGCGCTTTTAGGTTTCTGTGAGTCGCCCTGGCCTGACGGCTAGACGCTCGCCTGCATATATGAAAATCGTGGGTTCGAGTCCTAACGGATCCGGACTTGTCAAAAATGACCTTGGCTCCCAGGTCGACCCAGCCTTCAGTGTGTACCAAATGCAGTCCTGGGAAGTAAAGGCGGTCGCTGTGATGCTGACCACATCTCTCACCAAGTGCCGATTTTTAAAACAAAATTAAATACAGGTCTAGCTGTGTAGGCCCAATACGCCTAAAGGAAGGGTGGGCGGGAAGGGGGGAGGGTAAATAAATAAGACATGCAAAGAAAAACAAACGATTTGTTGTCTACAGCATTAAAAAATAGGGCTACAAATAAAAGTCATGAAAAAACAAGTATACTGAAGATACCGCCAACAGATCATGTAGATCTCATGCTAGAGAACAAACCAACGAAAGTACCAGACCATTTCCCCTATTTGAGTAGCAATGTTGATTCTCAAGGAGACACATCGAAATAAATTATGATACGACTGGCAATTTAACAAAACAGTCTATAAAAGCCTTAACAAAATATGAAACTCCAAGTTAAACAGCTTTAAGACCAAACTACGAATCTTCATTTCTAACGTTACTTCAGTTCTGACGTATGCCTGGGAGAGTTGGAGAACCGCCATAGACAGGAAACGAAAGTAAAATGCAGTTAGAAAAAAAAAATCTGAGAAAAATCATGAACATAAAAGAAGATGAATTTAAAAAGAGTGAGGAGATCGAAGAAATGTCTGGACAAAAACCTGTATCGACTCCAGTATGACAAAGAATGTAGAGATATATTGGGCACACTCTGCGACGAAATTAACTAACAATGTTTTTACAAGCTTTAAAATGGGTAACAAACGGTCTAAGAAAAAGAGGAGGTCTGAGAGAAACATTAAGAAAAACATTATTACGAGAGGCCAAAAATCCTGGGCTGAACTCCATGTCAAAAATCAAGAAAGTTGAATGCAATAGAGTGGAGTGAAGGGATCGAATGCGAGCTCTATGTGACGTCTAACGGCACACAAGGAATGATGATGATGATGATGATGATGATGATGATGATGATGATGATGATGATGATGATGATGATGATGATGATGATGATGATGATGATGATGATAATGCTATTTCATAGACCAATTGGTCCCGTGGATGATGTAATCAACATCACGCCGACGGCCGTTTTTTCACAGGATTTTACATGGTACATAAGGCTGGATTGACCTAGGTGTCTAGGTCATTTTGGAAGAAACAAAATGTCCGGTTCCATTCGGACTCAACCAACTACTGTCGAAACAGCAGACGAGCTTCTATCCGCTACACCACAACGGTTTCCGAAAGAAACAGAAAAGCAATCCTGACTGACAGACAATTTGTCATGTAAGCGGAAAGATTATATATGAAATGTATAGTGCTGACATTACCAAGACAACTAAAACATTCGTTTACTGGATTCATCAGATCCGCTTCATGTCACAGACTGGGTTAAGAAGCCGGCTGGAGAATCTAGCCTTTCTCCCCACAACAATCATGTCTGTTGATGAGACAACAGGTAAGGCAGTAGGATACGAACCAGCAATGTTTGTAGTGCAAAGGTTAGAAACATCCAAAAATATTGTTTGAGTCACTGAGGTTCCAACAAATATACAGTCAGGTAGCCCCGAAACTTCCCCGCTCCTTTGCCAGTGGAAATTGCACAACATGTTTTTCACTATTCCATTTGAAGACTAGTGAAAAGCATGACATTCGCAGCAACATCTCGAAGCTTGCACAAGCAAAATAAGGTTGGCTATTAAATGTACCACAACTAACAGTCTCACACCAGAATTGTAACTTATCCTTTGCGCAAAAAAAAAAAGTCACGAAAACATAAGCGCTTCTTCTTCTTCTCTTCTTCTGCCTTTCTATCCCCCAATGGAGCATAGGCCCTCAACCAACTCACGCCAAGTCGTTCTATCCTTCGCCATTACATGGAGCTCTCCCCATGTCCTCCCAATCTTTCTAACCTCATTCTCCAGCTCTCTTCTCCATGTGTTTTTTGGCCTTCCTTTATTCCTATGCCCCTGTGGGTTCCAATGCAAAGACATTCTAGTTATGCTGTTCTCCTGTTTTCTCAGTGTGTGCCCTATTCAACGCCAGCGTCTTTTCCTCACCTCCTGATCCACTGGAGCCTGTTTAGTTCTCTCCCAAAGTTCTACATTAGTTATTCTATCATACCATTTTATTCCCTCTATTCTGCGCAGGCACCAGTTAATGAATGTCTGTAATTTATTAGTAATTGCCTTGGTTGTTCTCCATGTTTCCGCCCCATACAATAGAACTGATTTGACATTAGAATTAAAAATTTTTAGTTTAGTATTTATTTTAATTTATTTTGACCTCCACAAATTCCCTAGTGCTATGAAAGCCCCTCTTGCCTTTTGTATTCTTATTTTAATATCTCTATCAGTTCCTCCATCTTTATCTACATTACTGCCTAAATAGGTGTACGACTCCACGTCTTGGAGTGGGGTGCCATTAAGAGAAACCACATTACTATTTGCCTGATTTATTCTCATTATCTTTGTCTTTCCTTTATGGATTTTCAGACCAAGCTGCTGTGATCTCGCATTAAGTATATTTAATTTATCTTACATCTGATTCCGTGAATGGGACAGAAGAGCAATATCATCAGCGAAGTCCAGATCATCAAGCTGTTTTGTAGGGGTCCACTGAATTCCATTCTTGGTGTTAGCAGTTACTGTTTTCATAGTCCAGTCTATAGCCAGTAAAAATAAGAGAGGCGACAAAAGACATCCCTGTCGCACACCAGTTTTTATTTCAAATGCATCTGTTAGCTTTCCCTCATGAAGAACTCGACATTTCATGTCTTTATATGTTGCCTTTACTAAGTTGATAATTTTCTGTGGGATTCCATAGTGCCCCATCAATTTCCAGAGAGATTCCCTATCTATGCTGTCAAATGCTTTTTGATAGTCTATAAATCCAATGTAAAGTGGTGAGTTCAGTTCAATGCTTTGCTCTATTATAATACGTAATGTGGCTATCTGATCAGTACAGGATCTGTTTGACCGAAAACCTGCCTGCTCATCTCTTAGCATTTTATCAATAGCATCTTTTAATCTTTCCAAAATAATTCTACTTAATATTTTTCCAGGAACTGACAGCAACATAATTCCTCTATAGTTTTCACACTCCTGTAGATCACCTTTTTTGGGCAGTTTCACAAGATATCCTTCTCTCCAGTCTGCTGGTATTTCTTTGGTCTCCCAGACTTTACTGAATAATCTATGTAGCAATTCTGTTGATGTGTTTATGTTGGTCCTGATGGCTTCAGCTGGGATACCATCTGGGCCTGACGCCTTTCCTTCCTTAAGAAGATTTATAGCTTTTCTAATTTCCTCTTTGGATGGTATCTCACAGTTGATATCCAGTTCCATTTCTAAAGGCTGGATATCTGGGGGAACCTGTGGGCCTGGTCTATTTAGAAGCATTTCAAAATATTCAACCCATCTGTCCATTTGATCTTTAGTGTTAGTAAGTACCTTTCCTTGACTATTTTTGATTGATCCAGTTGGCTGACTATATTTACCTACTAATTTTCTTGTGTTACTGTAAAGTTCTCTGAGGTTTCCTTTTGCTGCTGCTGTCTCCGCTTCTTGTGCTAGATCATTTAGATATTTCACTTTATCTGCCCTTATATGCCTCCTAACTTCCTTGTTGGCTTCTGTGTAATTCTTCTGAGCTCTAGCTTTAGCAGCTCTAGTTTTGCTATTGTTTAATTCTGCCTTTTTACTTTTCCTATCTTCAATCAGTTTAATGGTTTCTGGTGTTATCCATGCTTTATGTTTCCTTTCTTTCTTGCCAAGAACTTCTACGCAAGATTCATTCCAGATTCCTTTGAAGTGTGGCACTGACGCGTGCGAATGTTCTCGCTTGATACAACGCACACTTGCCAAGTATCCATGGTATGTTAAATAGTCTTACAGTAACAAGTCACCATTCCCGCCCAACAGCAATAAAGGACGCGCGGATACATGTTGAACGTCAAACAGAATTAATGTATTTCTAATTCCAACACCAAAACAATGAAAGGCATCACGAGAATAAAACGTTACACCGCCACAGTCATTCCTACTGGCAAGGCAACACACACTACGGACGCTCTGGGCTACTTCTACTGCCACCCTGTCCCGTGGTCAACTACGAGCACACATTACCTGCTCGTGCAAACTTACTAACTACTCGTGATTATGTGTCTACCCCTATGACACCCATCCCTTGGGTACACTGTCATAGCAGAATAATACAGGCCGATGCACAGTACATTGTGAAACTTGTCCAGACCTTCCGTCTGCGGCCTGACACGTAATTGAGATCTAAATAATCTCACCACACGAGCGTCTGTCACGCTGGCGCGACCGCTGTAACAACACTCACAGACAGCCCGTACCCTACCGCCAGCGTAACACAGTTATGCAGGACCAGCCTGGATCCATCCAGATTAGAACAGGCTTCCTACACAGCGTAGTAGAGTCCACCGTTACTCACTCTCTCTCTCTCTCTCTACATTACGTTCAATGTGTGCGCACCGCACCAAGTCCCACGTTCAACAATGAACTTCCCTTCCCATATATTGCACACAACAGGCACCAAGCACTCAACTTAGTAACTTGGTGACGTAATATTTGGACTCCAAATCCAGAAATGTGGAATTTGCATCAGCAAAATCTAGCTGGAAACAAATAACTGTCCATAGCGTTAGCGGTCAGCCGGTTATCAGCCATTTTCGTCGACAACAGGTCAAGCAATATGAGACATCAACAATCGTTAAGTGCCTGGGATAGCGAAGAACTTGCACCCAGTACCCACTCAAGGCTGGGTCGACCTGGGAGCCAAGGTCATTTTTGAAAAAAACGTCCGGCTCCAGGGAACGAACCCACGACCTTCCGATCCGCGGCGAGCGTCTAGCCGTTCCGCCACGGGGACTCACATCAAGAAGCGTAGTAAAACATATAATAACGGCTTAGCATATACTGGTAATTTGAACTGAAAAGAATTAACAAGTAATTGCTATCGTAAAAGACATTTTCTTCTTCTATCGTTTTCCCCCTAGTGCAGTGGTTCCTAACATTCCTAATACCGCGACCATTTAATACAGTTCCTCATGTTGTGGTGACCCCCAACCATACAATTATTGTTGTTGTTACCTCATGTTAATATGTGTTTTCCGATGGTCTTGGGCCACCCCTGGGAATGGCTCGTTCGGTCCACAAAAGGGTCGCGATCCATAGGTTGAAAACCGCTGCCCTAGTGGAACATTAACACTCACCCGTCTCACGCCGACTCATCTGATCTTTGCATGTAGTCACCCGTGTCCTCTTGTCATTGTAACTTCACACTTTAGTTTCCTTCTCGGTGTGACTGTGGTCTGCTTTCATTCCGTTTGCTCTTTATTCCATTTGCTATCTACTCTGTTTGCTGTCTATTCCATTTGCTTTTTTTTTTCCATTCGCTCTGCATTCTGTTTGTTCTCTATTCAATTTGTTATCTATCTCATGTGATCTTTTTTCTATTTGCTCTGCATTCTATTTGCTTTAACTTTTAAATTAACATAATTCCCATATACGACACAACTTATGTACATTAATGTATCTGATCTTATATAGGCGAACCCGCATACGCTCAGTGGAACTATCGGATTCTGTGCAGTCCGGTTGGTTTCGACATCCCACTGTCACATTTTCACCAGGTACTGCTTCATCTGTGTCTACGTGTTGAGCCTTGTTAAAGTGATATCCAAGATGCAGGGTTTTTATTTTTTAAATTTTCAATGAGTTTCATGTTTGGTAAAACTGTAGAACATCACCCATCTCGTGCCGATTGGTCTATAAAATATAGGTCTAGCCCTATATGCCCTATACGCGTAAAGGCGTGGAAAATGGTCCTTTACTCTTTAAAACTGTAGAGGAAGCAACCCTGATGAGGTGAGGGAAAAGGGTGGTGGGGGGTGGTGGGGGGGGGGGGGGGGAGCAGTCAGTCGTTCTGGTTCCTAAGAACATGACATCACAGTGCAGACGAGCACGGTGGCGTCATAATGACAGTTGAACGATGGCTACCACTCTTTTGATATGCCTGTTGGCCCTGCGAGTATATGAGTCCTTTCTGAAACCTTCAACGGCTGCAATCGACTCTGGAGTCACTACTCGGTGTGTATGACCCAGATATTTTCAGGCATGTGAAAAATTCATATCTATTTTATCATCATTATCCTGTTTCATCCCGCCCCCCCCCCCTTTTTTTTAACGCGAATTCCCATCTGTCCTGTGCAATCTTTTCAATATCATCGAAGGAAATCTAGTACAACCCCTTTGAGCCTCTTTCATCAACTTTCGTCTTTGGGGTTTCTCCAACATGTCGTCGTTTCCTCAGTTTATTTGTTTCCATATTTCAGTGCCTGTTTTGTGAGTCTCTATCCTTGCTTCTGCTCGTGATGTATCCAGTACATCACCAGGCTCTTTGCCCTATATCTGCCTATCTAATGTCCAGATAATATCTAGCCAAAGTAGACGGTATCCTATAACATCTAGACAGAGGTACTCCGATTTCGAAGGGAGCTCCAAGTTAGCCGACTCTTACGACATACTTTTCGGTAGACGGTGTCTATTCTGGTTTTCCTTAAACTAGGGTCCGAAACCCACACTGGGAGAATTAATCTCTTTTAACGTTGATAATTTCTTCAGGCATTGTCTTAGTGCATTTAATTATCTTTCCAGGTCTTGATCTGCCTTAGTTGTTATAAAATGTTAGGAATTGTTTCATCTTATTTCTGTAATTCCTCTTTTTTCCCCAACATCTCTCTTTAGGAGAACGACCTGGCTTTTCAGATGAGCTCTAGCATCAAGAACGATCATGTTCGAGAAACGAGAGCAGCAAGGTTCAAATTGTTCGACGGTGAAAAGTAAGGAGTAGATGTTTACTCACATGTCGTTTAATGATGAAAAGTAAGGAGTAGATGTTTACTCACATGTCATTTAATGAGGAAAAGTAAGGAGTAGATGTTTACTCACATGTCGTTTAATGCTGAGAAGTAAGGGTTATATGTTTACTCACAAGTCGTTTAATGATGAAAAGTAAGGTTTATATGTTTACTCACAAGTAGTTTAATGATGTAAAGTAAGGTTTACATGTTTAATCACAAATCGTTTAATGGTGAAAAGTAAGGAGTAGATGTTTACTCACAAGTCGTTTAATGATGAAAAGTAAGGGTTATATGTTTACTTTACTCTAAAATCGTTTAATGATGAAAAGTAAGGAGGTGATGTTTACTCACAAGTTGTTTAATGATGAAAAGTAAGGGTTATATGTTTACTCACAAGTTGTTTAGTGATGAAAAGTAAGGAGTAGATGTTTACTCACAAGTCATTTAATGATGAAAAGTAAGGGTTATATGTTTACTCACCAGTCTTAAAAGATGAAAAGTAAGGGTTATATGTTTACTTTACTCTCAAATCGTTTAATGATGAAACGTGAGGAGGAGATGTTTACTCACAAGTCGTTTCATGATGAAAAGTAAGGGTTATATGTTTACTCACAACTCGATTAATGATGAAAAGTTAGGAGTAGATATTTACTCACAAGTCGTTTAATAATGAAAAGTAAGGTTTATATGTTTACTCACAAGTCGTTTAATGATGAAAAGTAAGGGTTATATGTTTACTCACCAATCGTTTAATGATGAAAAGTAAGGAGAAGATGTTTACTCACAAGTCGTTTAATGATGAAAACTAAGGAGGAGATGTTTACTCACAAATCGTTTAATGATGAAAAGTAAGGAGGAGATGTTTACTCACAAATCGTTTAATGATGAAAAGTAAGGGTTATATGTTTACTCACAAATCGTTTAATGATGAAAAGTAAGGAGTAGATGTTTACTCACATGTCGTTTAATGATGAAAAGTAAGGAGTAGATATTTACTTACAAGTCGCTTAATGATGAAAAGTAAGGAGTAGATGTTTACTCACAAATCGTTTAATGATAAAAAAGTAAGGAGGAGATGTTTACTCACAAATCGTTTAATGGTGAAAAGTAAGGGTTATATTTTTACTCCCAAGCTGTGTTGTGATGAATGTTTACTCGCAAGTTGTTTCGTGGTGACAGTTTACTCACATGTTGTTTCGTGGTGATAGTTTACTCACATGTTGTTTCGTGGTGATAGTTTACCAACATGTTGTTTCGTGCTGATAGTTTACCAACATGTTGTTTCGTGCTGATAGTTTACTCACATGTTGTTTCGTGGTGATTGTTTACCCACATGTTGTTTCGTGCTGATAGTTTACCCACATGTTGTTTCGTTGTGATAGTTTACCTACATGTTGTTTCGTGGTGATAGTTTACCCACATGTTGTTTCCTGGTGATAGTTTACTCACATGTTGTTTCGTTGTGATAGTTTACTCACATGTTGTTTCGTGTTGATAGTTTACTCACATGTTATTTCGTGGTGATAGTTTACTCACATGTTGTTTCGTGGTGATAGTTTACTCACATGTTGTTTGGTGGTGATAGTTTACTCACATGTTGTTTGGTGGTGATAGTTTACTCACATGTTGATTCATGGTGATAGTTTACTCACATGTTTTTCGTGGTGATAGTTTACAACATGTTGTTTCGTGGTGATAGTTTACTCACATGTTGTTTGGTGGTGATAGTTTACTCACATGTTGTTTGGTGGTGATAGTTTACTCACATGTTGATTCATGGTGATAGTTTACTCACATGTTTTTCGTGGTGATAGTTTACAACATGTTGTTTCGTGGTGATAGTTTACTCACATTTTGTTTGGTGGTGATAGTTTACTCACATGTTGTTTCGTGGTGAAAATTTACTTAAAAGTTGTTTCGTGTTGAAAGTTTACTCACAAGCTGTTTCGTTTTGAAAGTTTACTCACAATTTTTTTCGTGTTGAACGGTCATACGTTGTTTTGTGGTGAAAGTTTACTTACAAGATGTTTCATGGTGAAAGTTAACTCTAAGTTGTTTCCTTGTCTTCTTCTTCTTCGCGTTCACCAGCTGTACACTCTGGCAGAAAGTTCTGGTTGGTCGTCCACTACTGAACTGCAGTCCTGCTCCAGAACCTGAGTGTTGCGTGTGCATAAGTTTTACAGATCTCATTCTCTTGAATACAGACTGTTGGTTCCTTGCCTCTCCGGCAGATGCAATCCGACTTCAAAGGAAGCTCCCCAATTTGTCGACTCTTACGACATACTTTTGGGGAGGCAGTGGGTCTATTCTTGTTTTCCCCTATATTGGGGCCCCGGAACCAACACGGGGGTGTTTCCTTGTGAAACTTTACTCACAAGTTGTTTCGTGTTTAAAGTTTACTCATAAGTTGTTTTCTAGTGAAAGTTTACGAATAATTTAGTTCGTGGTGAAAGTTTACTCACAAGTTGTTTTGTGATGAGATTTTACTCACAGGCTGTTTTGTGATAAAAGATTGCTTACGAATTGTTGTTTCACAGTTTTTAAAAAAAAAATAGGTTGTGCCAGTGCACCCATAATTTAGAATTCTATATCAGGTTGACGCTTATTTAGCTTATCATATTTGGTTGACGGTTATTTAGTATATCATATTTGGTTGACGCTTATTTAGACTATCACATTTTATTAACGCTTATTTAGACTATCACATTTTATTAACGCTTATTCAGACTATCATATTTGGTTGAAGGTTATTCAGCTTATCATATTTGGTTGACGCTTATTCAGACTATCATATTTGGTTAACGCTTATTCAGACTATCATATTTGATTAACGCTTATTCAGACTATCATATTTGATTAACGCTTATTCAGACTATCATATTTGATTAACGCTTATTCAGACTATCATATTTGATTAACACTTTTTCAGACTATCATATCTGGTTGACGCTTTTAAAAGTATATGCTGCCTTGTCAGTGGATTTCATGGTTATCGTTCGTCTTTAAAATTCCTCTAAATAGATTATTTATTTAAACAGAGATCAGAAACACTCGATTCTGGACAAGATTTTTGCATCCATCCCCGGGAAAGATAACTATGGAGCGAACTTGACCCTGCAAGCTTTTGATGATGACATTTATGATGCGTCCAAAGAGTCGAACCTACTGCTGAACACGGGCTACTACCACAGGTCTTATAAACTCTACAAGAAAGGGGCCAGTGGCCTTTCTGTGAGTATTCGTGTTGGGAGAAAATGTACCTTTAGAGAGAACAGCGAGGGAGAGAATGAAGGGCTCACTTGTGGATAACCAGAGGAACACGAATAACAATAAAGGACTTATTTATATGGTGAAAGGTTAAATAACCATCATCATCATCATGTAGCAGGTCCTTTGCAGAACGTCGCTCTTATCACAGTCTGCCTAAAAGAAACTCTGTCTTTCGCCAGTTCTTCCTCCTCATGCATTTTCACACTCAAGGAGTCACTTATATCCTGTGCCCATCTTCGTGTCGGTCGGCCCCTGCCCCTCCTTCCTGGTACCATGCCTTCTGCTACAATTTTTTTCCAATCCGTCGTGGCGCTTGATATGACCAAAATATTTCAGCTTTCGAGAAAGGATGCTGTTTATTAGCCAATCTTCCTTGATGTTCAGATCTTTTAAGATGTCAATATTTCTCATCTTCTTTGTCCAAGATATTCTGAAAATCTTTCTATAGCATTTCAGCTCAAAAGCCCCTATTCTCTTTCTTAAGGACTGGATTAAACAACCACCAATATTAAAATGATAAACAGCTGCTAAAGCAGGCGAAGGATTTTTCATATCTGGGAAGAATTGTGTGTGCATGTATGTATGTGTGTATGCATGTATGCATGTGTGTGTGTGTGTTGTGGGTGTGTGTGTGTGTGTTTTCAGAAGATGGAAGAATTGATAAAGAAATCCAACAAAGGTGCGATTATTCCAGTTAAGTTTTAGACCAAATGGTGCTAATTTTGAAATGCAAGCATGTGAATATGAACACCAAAAAAAAAAAAAAAACACTGTTCAAGACAATATTCTTACCAACGCTATGCTATCAATGTCAAACATTGACATTGTCTTCAGACGACAGTAGGAAAATAGTCACGACAGAAATTAAATGTTTACATGCTATGCTATATCGGGGGTGATATCGGGGGTGGGGGGGGGGGGGGGGGAAGTCGGCACAGAACCAATACTGAACTTTATAGTTAAACAAACAAATCCTATGGTTTGGCCCTGTAACAAAATTTGCATCAGACAGGGCACCACAGAGAGCGATACAACAGTAACAGACCAAGAGGTCAACTACGCAGAAGATGGACGGCAGATATGTCAGAGACACTGAAAAGTACTTTATACAAAGCGAGCAGAAGCGCCCGTTCCAAAGATCTCTTCCTGCCCTGACGCCGCGAGGAATCCAGTAGTAAGTAGATAAAAGAAGAAGAAGATTAAACAAATACGGTAGACGGAAAGAGATGAAAGATAAAGGGAGAAAATCAAAAAAATTACATAAAAATTTAGATTAGTCAGATACTGCAGGCGAATAATACGTCCCTAAATTGCAAAGACAAAAAGGTGTACAGTTAGACGGAGGGAAATAGATAGACAGACATATAGATAATCATACAGATAGGCAGACAACCGGACGGACGAATGAATGAATGGATAGATGAAATGATGCATGAAACGGTCTTTACGTAAAATGTTAGTAAATAGTTAGACAAGTAGGTAACTATGCGGAAAAGTAGATATGTAGCTAGGTAGGTAGATTTACAATAACAACCTCATTAACACTAATTCCAACGGACCGAAAATCTAGCTTGCGTTTCAAAAATTCACGCTAACCGATATCTAATAAAATCACTCACCTTTGCTAGGACCGAAATTGTGTTCTTATTAACGGGGTTTCGTTTTAAATTAGTACATCTTAAAGATGTTTTACCATAGATATATAAATAAAAAGATGATTATGAAGGAGTCGGACTTTTCTTCCAAAATTACCCTGGCTCCCAGGTCGACCCAGCCTTGAGTGGGTACCGGGTGCAGTCCCGGGAAGTAAAGTCGACCAGTGTGATGCTGACCACATCATCCATCTTGTGCCGTTAGTCTATAAAATATAGGTCTAGCCCTATATGCCCTATACGCCTAAAAGCGTGGAAAAGGCTCCTTTACTTTACTTATTATATAGTTATAAAATAAGCACATCAGTATAAAGGTATATCAGTATAGTGGTACATCAGTATAAAGGTACATAAGAAAATAAAGGTACATCAGTATAAAGGTACATCAGTATAGTGGTACATCATTACAAAGGTACATCAGTATAGTGGTACATCAGTATAAAGATATATCAATATAGTGGTACCTAGTATAAATTTACAAAAGTATATCGATACATCAGTATAAAGGTGCATAAGTATAAAGGTACATCGGTTATAAAGGTACATCAATATAAAGATACATCAGTATAAAGATACGTCAGTATGAACGTACATCGGTATAGCGGTACATCATTTAAAAAGGACATCAGTATAAAGGTATATCGGTTAAAAAATTACATCAGTATAAAAGTGCATCGGTTATAAGGTACATCAATTTAAAAGAACATCAATATTAAGGTACATCAGTACAAAGGTACATCAGTACAAAGGTACATCAGTATAAAGTTACATCGGTTTTAAAGGTAAATCGGTATAAAGTTACATCGGTATAAAGGTATATCGGTATAAAGGTAAATCAGCTATAAAGGTACATCAGTATAAAGTTACATCAGTATTACGGTACATCAGTATAAAGGTACATCAGTATGAAGGTACATCAGTATAAAGTTACATCAGTATTACGGTACACCAGTATAAAAGTACATCAGTAAAAAGGTAAATCGGTAAAAAGGTACATCAGTATAAGTGTACATCAGTATAAAAGTAAATCGGTATAAAGGTATATTAGTATAAAGGTACATCGGTTAAAAAGGCAAATCTGTATACAGGTAAATCAGTATAAAGTTAAATCAGTATAAAATTAAATTAGTATAAAGTTACATCGGTTATAAAGGTACATCACTATAAAGTTAAATCAATATAAAGGTACATCAGTATAAAGATGCATCAGTATAAAGGTACATCAGTATAAAGGTACATCGGTTATAAAGGTACGTAGGTATAAAGGTAAATCAGTATAAATGTACATCTGTATACATATTTTTTTTATAGGAGTGGTACCATTATTTATTTGCTTTAGTCCTTATACTGATACATCTGTATAAAGGTAAATCAGTATAAAGGTACATCAGTATAAGGGTACATCAGTATAAAAGGTACATCAGTATAAAAGGTACATCAGTATAAAAGTACATCAGTACAAAGGTACATCAGTATAAAAGGTACATCAGTATAAAAGGTACATCAGTATAAAAGGTACATCAGTATAAAAGCTACATCAGTATAAGGGTACATCAGTATAAAAGGTACATCAGTATAAAAGGTACATCAGTATAAAAGGTACATCAGTATAAAACTACATCAGTACAAAGGTACCTCAGTATAAAGATACATCAGTATAAAAGTTCATCAGTTTAAAGGTAAATCTGTATAAAGGTACATCAGTATAAAGGTACATCAGTATAAAGGTACATCAGTATAAAGGTACATCAGTATCAAGATACATCAGTATAAAAGTTCATCAGTATAAAGATGAATCTGTATAAAGGTAAATCTGTATAAGGGTACATCAGTATAAAGATACATCAGTATAAAAGTTCATCAGTTTAAAGGTAAATCTGTATAAAGGTGCATCAGTATAAAGATACATCAGTATAAAGGTACATCAGTATAAAGGTACATCAGTATCAAGATACATCAGTATAAAAGTTCATCAGTATAAAGATAAATCTGTATAAAGGTAAATCTGTATAAAGGTACATCAGTATAAACATACATTAGTATAAAGGTACATCAGTATAAACATACATTAGTATAAAGGTACATCAGTATAAACATACATTAGTATAAAAGTACATCAGTATAAAAAGTACATCAGTATAAAGGTACATCAGTATAAAGGTACATCAGTACAAAGGTACATCGGTATTACTAACTAACTGCGTACTTTTTTGAATTGTTCTTTCGTGTGGTAGTTCGCGCCGCTGGGTTTCAACGACGAGAACATGTGGATGGCACAGACAACACAAGAAAACATTGCTCCAGTTCAATCGAAGCGCTGCTCTGTTGTGTAAGAACTTTCTCCTTTCACTGTGAACTTCATCTGTCCTATTTCCGAGGGTTTTCCCCCGGGCAGCTACATGAAGGTTCGACCACCCTCTGATTACATAGTCTCAGTCTAGATGGCAAACGAATAAGGCAGATTACAGATACCCCATTCAGTCTGTTTAAGAGTTTTTATTTGGGCACTCATAACTGTCAACTCAAGCCTGCAAAAACCTGCAGTCATGTGTGGCTACCAATAAGCATGAACTTCGTCATCTTCTATGTGCCAGTGTTGGGAAGCACTGCCATATAAAGAAAGTAAGCCAAGGGTTCGACGAACTCTGGAGTCACTAGCAGGGCAGGAAATGAACTAAATCGGAAACTTTTTCTGGGAGGGAGGAGGAGGGGGCGGGTCGCCGAACTGGAGTAACGATTGGCGGGAAAGACAGGTGTTAACGAACTCGGAAGTCTTGGGTTAACTTATATAAATATTGAGGAAAACGCGATAAAGCCAGATGTCATACGAATAGTTATATGTATGATTATATGTTTTCTATGTTATCTTTGGAAGGTAGAATTCAGGCTTCTGTTAGAAGATATAGTAACTAACTACTGAATGACCGGCATATAAGAAGTTAAAGTGAAAGTGGGTCATTAGCTGGGGTAAACCAAGCTTGAACGGTCCTAGTCAAGTTCTCGGGCACAATAGAATTTACCTCTAGGAGGGCGTGACAAAAGTATCAGATGCTGAGGTTGAATGGAACAGACTGGTTTGGAAGGTTGTAGCCAGACTAATGTGGTAGAGAAGGAAATGCAAGGGCATTCATGTCGTATAACTAAATAGTTTCATGTAGTTATGCATGGTAATATGTGTTGTTTGAGAAGTACATATGGTTTAGTGGATAAGGATGTATACGTGTGCATAAAGATGTGTGTTTGAAGTGAGAAATGTTTGATTGAAAAGAGCAGTTGTTTGCAATGTATAAAAAGATTGCTGTTGTTGTGTTCCCGTTTATATGTTCAGGAATGTAAACTTATAGTTTGTTTGAATATGTTTAACCGGTGACATGGAAGTAAGGTCTTGATTTACTGGGTTGGTTGTAGAGTAGGTGGTATGTAAAGATTGCAAATAGTAGTAGCGTGTTGCTAATGTGTAGCAGTATTTGCTACTCGTTGCTGGGCTAATACGTTCTATGCTGGTATTGGTGTCTAAGTATTGATAAATAGCAATGAAGGAAATTCTAGAAGTTACTGGCTAGCTTATCATTGAGTAGAGCAGATTCTGCTATTAGTGGTAATCAGTGGTAGGATGTTGTACCATTTGAGGTTTAGTAGTGTTAGTAGCGATTGGGCCCACTCTGATTATAACATGGTAATAATATGTGGTATATTACTTGGTGTTTTAAGGTTGTTGGCGTAATAAGAGATATACGACTTTGTAATTCTGTTCCCTTATAAACATGATCGTTAGTTGCTACTCTTTTATTACATCTTTTTTTTTTTTTTTAATAGGAGTGGTACCATTATTTATTTGCTGTAGTCCTTATACTGATACTTTACTATGCTCTCTTTCGTACCTCCACCTATACTGATACATGATAAGGCAGACTTGGTTAGTGCCTTGTGGGACAGCGTGTACAGTTTGGAGGAGCAGATGGATCACCACAGTCTGGTGAGATTGATGCAGCGGCTAGTGACGAGAGGTTCTGGCAGATACTCGAGGCTCAGGGGAAAGGCAAGACGGACGTTTAATCATAATGCTACTGGCATCATTAGTAGCGGAACTCTTCGCTGGCTGCTGAAGATGGGGACGGAACGCTTATGAAAATGCCCCGAGTGCTGTGATGTCTGTTCTTGAATCAAATCAAATCAACCTCCACCTGATCCTCAGTAGTTTAGGGCGCTAATTATCCATATTATTTGCGGATTGTGGATGATTGTGGATTGCTGATTGTGAATGACATGTAAATGTGGATGGATATGTGGATGTTGATGGTGGATGGGACACCGTCTAGAGAAACATCTGGAGAGTAATGGTTGTTTTGCCTTGACGTCTCCATGTAGTTGTTTTACCCTGTAATAACATAAGACGGTACAAGGCTGGAGAGCCGGGGCCCCAACATCAATCAGATACAACGGACCACAATATGATCAGACTGACTTGCTGATGTAAAAGGGGCAGTCGCTCCTGATTTTCCGGACTTTTTTCCAAAACAAAAAGTTAACTTTATTTATTTGCCGCAAATAAGGCAAAATTAAAACTCGATGTTACTTTACATTTTTTTTTTAAATCTTTCGACATGATTGTTAACATACTGCATGCCAAATTTTAACAATTACACTGAACGGCAAAGGCAAACTACTGGACGTAAATTTGCCTAGAAAAACCAAATCAGCCAAAACAATTATACTGTCATTTGTTCTGAAACGTCCTGTAAAGGATACGCAACTCACTTAACATTAGGTTTAGATGTCTATCTCTTAAGTGTTTTCTGTCTGAATGTCAAGGATTAACTTAAGTACATTATAATTGTCTGTCTATCTCAAATATTTTGTGTCTGAATGTCAACGATTTACTCAAGTACATTAGGATTGTTTGTCTATATCTTAAATGTTTTCAGTGTGAATGTCAGTGATTTACTCACATATTTTAGAATTGTCTGTCTTACCTCTTAAATGGTCGGCTCTGTCGCTATGTCGATGCGAACGCTTCGTAACGCCTGGATACCGGGTTAGATCCTAGCTGCGGACCAGGCGCCTTGCGTTGGTTTCGACAGTGGTATAAAAAAAACCGACCGTCCAAAAAGCAATGGCAAACTACTGGACGTAAATTTGCCTAGAAAAACCACACAACAGCCAGGGGCTGTTGGTATTGGTTCTGCAACGTCCTGTAAAGGATACGCAACTAACCTTAACCTCTTAAATATTTTCTGTCTGAATGTCAATGATATACCAAAGTACATTAGAATTGTCTGTCTATCTCTTCAACTGTTTCTGTCTAAATGCCAATGATCTACTTAAGTGAATTAGGATTGTCACTCTATCCCTTCAACTTTTTCTGCCTGCATTTCTATGATTTATTCATGTACTTCAGAATTGTCATAAAATAATAAAAAATACGAGACAGAAAAGGTTCAATGATTTGTGTCTGTGAATGTTCAGTCAGGTGAGAGCGGCAACATTCAAGAAGGTGTGTTCGAGCTCCATGGTTCGAGTCTCCCACGCCATTCCTCTGGAGATCATCTACTTGACACCGCTGCTCTCGTGGAACCCTTACACAATCACGTACAATACCGTGAGAACTGATTTCGGTGTTTGTGTTTTCGTGGTTACATTTGTTACAAGGTCTACTGTAATTCTTCTTCTTATTCTTTTTTCGCGTAGTCCTGCAGTAAACTCCGGCGTCGCATCCGTTTTACGGATCTGGCTTATTAGTATGCAGACTGTTGGTTTCGCCTCCCAGGCAGACGCACTCCGACATTGAAGGAAGAATCTTTAATCAACCTACTTTTTACGATATGCTAGTTGAAAAGGGGGCGGGGGGGGGCACAATGGGGCCACGGAGCCCACAGCAACAATTTCTCTGACCTGCTAACTAGTTTTATTATTCTATAATTTTTTTTATGTATTGCATTGTCATGGTGTTGAATTGTCTGTAAAAGTTGTAACGATTTTATATAGGTATGTCCTCGTCTGGATTCTGGGGCCCCACTATGGGCGCAAAAATGAATAGATGCCATGCCCTGTAACAAGCATATAGTACAAGTATGTACCCACGTATTTATGAGCCCCACTTTGGGACGGTCTCCTGCCATGGACCTGTATGCAGCACCAGTCCATATGGGGTTCAGGGTACAAGTCTAGAATTCCCGAATATCATCAGCCACATACGGGAAGCCTTTTATAGCACGAGCCGTAATGTAATTTACGATACATCTGCAAGAGATGTGGCATTAAATACATCTGTGAAACAGGCTTACAACTGGCTGACAGGTTCAGACAACATCTATTGGACGTGCAAAACGGCCTCCTGAAACCAGTACCACTGGATTTCAGTTCCCATGACCACCAAGGTGTCCACGATATTGAGATGACAAACAAATTTAGCCACTCCAGCGACATAGTTCGCAAGTCCCTTGGACAACGCTTTAGGTACATCTTGGCAACTCTGGCGCCTAGTGTACTTAACTGCCAACACAGTTTCACCTAAACCCTAGGGGCTAACTGCCTACACAGTTTCATCTTATACTCGAGTGACAGCCCCTGGAATATCCCAGAATATTCATTTTCAAGGCCTCGCGTGCCTCTCCAGACCATTGTCTTGGCATCGACCCAGCTGCCAGTACCGAAGATAAGTGATACTGTGTATTTGTGTAGTATTGTCTATTCTATGTATGTGCTAAAGAAGGCTCCATAGCCGCAACGTTAACGTTTTGCCTGTGTTTGTTATATGTTGAAACTGGCCGAATACTTTTCGTAGGGTTTTATATTTTTCCTTGATATAGTACAAGTAGACTAAATAGGGGTGTTTTCTTTGAAGTCGGAGAGATCTGTCGGAGAGATGAAGACCAACAAACAATCCTCAGACAAATAAGTAAGATCTGTATAACGGATGTGCACACAAAATTCAGGTTTTGGAACAAAACTAAAGTTCAGATGTGTACGATCAGCCAGAAATGTTCACTGGAATTTACAACCGCTGAACACAGACATACATAGGCACCCTCGCGCGCGCAAACACACACATAGATATGTCTACACAGTGTGTATAGAGTGATGCTCAAAGGTTTGACACCTCCTACTAAATAATCCTTTTTTCCTTACAATTTTGGATCGTTGCCTCAACATCTATTTTAGGGTTCACTAAAAGCAAATCATTATAGTTATGGTAAACATAATATCTTGAGCTGCAAAGGGACATTCTATTATTATTTTGAGCTGAAAATGGGACAACTCATTAATATGTTAAGCTGACAATGGGACATCTGATTAATATTTTAAGCTGAAAATGGGACATTCCTAGAAAATCAGTTTATTTCCCGCCTCTTCGGGACACTGAGGTGGATTGGGTAATTACATAACATAACATAACATAACATAACATAACATAACATAACATAACATAACCATTGACCCGTTGGGGTCGTTGAGGCGTATTGATGGAAGCACTGGCACACACAATCATCCATCTTTCTCTGTTCCCTGCATATTGAACAAGTATCTGATAACTTACTGCTGTCCACTTCCGTGTGTTGTCATTTCAGGTTCTTCTTTGTCCTCTTCTTCTTCGATTACTCCCAATATTAATAACTCTCGTGGCAACTCTAAGCGTTGCCGGACAGAACTAAAGGAAACGAAATGCTCTTTCAAAACAAAACAAAAAACATACTACAATGAAAACTCTTGTCAGTACATTTCAGACAGTAAAGGTTACTAAATCAATCAAAGGGGCTGCGTGGTCTCGAGGCATCTTGTCCGCCTCGAGTGCTAGAGGTTCTGGGTTCAATCCCCGGTAAGGGCTCGGATTTTTTCACGTGGACTTAGACTTCTAGTAATTCCCCCTGGTCTCTATGTAGTGAGATCGGACGCCCGTGTGCATTGTTGCGCACGTAAAAAATCTCTTGGCAGTTGAAAATCGAAAAGAATTGCATAACGGCGCTGCCCGAGCAAAATTTTGAGTTTAAAATATACCCAAAGTATTTCAGGATCCTCGCCGGTGCTACAGGGCCTGTGCACTGTGCTGAGCTTCTTCGGACTCAGACTTGAGTTAGAAAGAAGAAGAGAGCTCTTATGGGTTACACCAGTGTGCCATGATGTTGATCCGTTGTTCAAAATCTTAAAACCTAAATCAGTCAAAAATAATTAAGTTTTACAACCATAGCTCTGTGGCTAAGTCGATGCTAACACTTCGTAATGCCGGGATGCCCGGTTCGATCCTAGCTGCGGGCCATGTGCCTTACTTTGGTTTCGACAGTGGTATCAAGAAAGCCGACCGTCCAGAGGCCCATGGCAAACTACTGGACGTAAATTGCCTATAAAAACCACACAACAGCCAGGGGCTGTTGGGGTTGATTCTGCAACCTCCTGTAAAAGGATACGCAACTAACCTCTCTTAAAACATAACTAAAAGTGTATGTTCTTCTTCTTTTCGTTCGTCCCAGTGCTGTAATTTCATTATGCCTATTTACAGCACAAATGCGATATTTGCAAGTTTCGACTTACCCATCCGAGATCCATCGGACATTTGTTCACCGGGTTATAGCCTAGCGGGTTGTTTTCGTGGGACATGACTTGGCTTTATATGTGTGGTACCCTCTTTATCCGTTTATCTACGAGTGTTAACGGACATATAACCGGATTGTGACCGGTACCATCAGTATTGGAACTATGCGCTGGCTGCTGAAAATGAGGACAGAGCATGCATGGGAATATCCTGAGTGCTGTGATGACAATTCTTGACTCAGCTCAACTTAACTCTATGAGTGTTAGCCATCGAACACCCAACCAGAGCAACCGCGTCGTGTGTGCTCTTTTTTGGAGCCTTTTCACAGATTTTTATTAAACGGGACAATTGGCTGGTCGGTGAAAACGGGACGTATGGTCACTTTACACGGATGGATCCAGTGTGATCGTATGATGCTGACCACATCACTCACCGAGTGCCTATTGCTCTATAAAATATAGGTCTGGTCCTATACGCCTAATACGCCTTAAGGCGTGCAAAAGCGTTCTTTGCTCTTACATTGGGATCTTTCAATCAACAGACTATTGTTGTTTTAAGGGCTGGTTGGTTGTTACGATAGTATCATCGCTCTCTTTATTTTATGTTGGCAAGAAAATTGACAAGAGACTGACATCGTCCGCCTTTTAAATGGCCTCGTAGTAATGTTACGTCGACAAGGGTAAACAGAAAATCATATTGGATGGTACTTTTTCAGACCTAAAGAGAAATTCTCTCTCTCTCTCTCTCTCTCTCTCTCTCTCTCTCTCTCTCTCTCTCTCTCTCTCTCTCTCTCTCTCTTTCATTCTGATACACACACACACACACATATAGCTATATATATATAGGTTAGTTGCGTATCCTTTACAGGACGTTGCAGAACCAACCCCAGCAGCCCCTGGCTGTTGTGTTGTTTCTCTAGGCAAATTTGCGTCCAGCAGTTTGCCATTGCTTACTGAACGGTCGGCCTCCTGACACCAATGTCGAAATGAACGCAGGGGGCATGGCCCGCAGCTGGGGTGGAACCCGGTACCCCGGCATTACGAAGCTTTATATATATATATTTACATATATATGTGTGTGTGTGTGTGTGTGTGTGTGTGTACCCCTTCTGGTGGAGACGCAGAGATCTAACCACTGCTTTATCATTGCTCTCTTGAAAAAAAAAGAATAAAGAATGATAATTACTTCCCCTTGCTTCCCATTAACTTGCTCCCACGCCCTTCTCTAATTATTATAAAAATCTGGAGCTGGCCGTGCTTGCTCCCTCCCTCCGGTTGTTCCCAACATCCCCCCCCCCCCCCGGTTCTTCCCAACACCCCCCCCCTCCCGGTTCTTCCCAACATCCCCCCCCCCCCGTTCTTCCCAACACCCCCACCGGTTCTTCCCAACACCCCGCCCCCTTGTTCTTCCCAACACCCCCACCGGTTCTTCCCAACACCCCGCCCCCCTGTTCTTCCCAACACCCCCACCGGTTCTTTCCAACACCCCCCCCCTGTTCTTCCCAACACCCCCTACCGGTTCTTCCCAACACCCCCCCCCCCTCCCTGTTCTTCCCAACATCCCCGCCCCCCCCCCCTCCACTCCCCCAAAAAACATTGTTTAGATTAGTTTGTAGACTTACATGCTGTTATGGAAATCTTGTTTAAATGCTGATAATTAGCGATTCTGCCCTTCCCTCCCCCCCCCCCCCCTTTCCGGCCCATCCCTCCTTAAAAAAATGTCAACTCGCTTATGACAAACTTCAGGATTCTAGGCTGGCCACACGAAACGGTCGGAACGGTCAGTCTGAAGAGACAGCGTTCAATGGCGTGGACAAGATGCGATATTACATGACTCCTGTTGAGTTTTTCTCAGGTAAGTATCTTCTTCTTCTTCTTCTTCTTCGCGTTCACCAGCTGTACACTCTGGCGGAAAGTTCTGGTTGCTCGTCCACTGCTGGAGTCCTGCTCCAGATCCTGAGTGTTGCGAGTGCATCAGTTTTACAGATCTCATTCTCTTGAATACAGACTGTTGGTTCCTTGCCTCTCCGGCAGATGCACTTCGACTTCAAATGAAGCTCACCAATTAGTCGACTCTTACAACATGCTTTTGGGGAGGCAGTGGGTCTATTCTTGTTTTCCCTACAATGGGACCCTGGAACCCACAATGGGGCCCCGGAACCCACAATGGGGCCCCAGAATACACAATGGGGCCCCGGAACACACACGGGGAGGTAACTATCGTTAGGCCAGATTGTCTCGGCCAGTTTAAATCTACCTGACACACACACTCACTCACACACACACATACATGCGCACACACACACATACACACACACACTTACACACATACACACATACATTTATACACACATACATTCATACACACATACACACATACATTCATACACACATACATTCACACACACATACACACATACTCACACACATACACACACATACACACACACACAATTATCAAAACAAAACACAAATTGATCTTTAAACATAATTACATGCTTCTGTTTAGATTGTTAGTGGAAGAAACAAACTGTACAAAACACCCAGATCAGAACAGAAATGGAACCAAACTAGTGCTGATACATCAAGAGACAGTAGATGAAATGGTTCGAACATGTCTCAAGGCTACTACAAGACAGTACAATGGTGGCTCGGCGAACGAGTGACCCTGTTAACGATTTTATTCCAGCTATTTTCCGGCCTTGGCTAACGGTTTTGGTTTCTTTTCTTCGCGTTCATCTGGTGTCAGCTCCGTGGGAAAGCTCTGGTTGTTCGTGCACTTCTGGACTTCAGTAATATTTTTTAGTTTTGCAGGCACATACGTTTCACATATCTGGCTTATTTGTATGCAGACTGTTGTTTCCTTGATGTGCAGGCAGGGGCACTCTGACTTCGAAGGAAACCCATACTTAGTCGACTCTCACGACATGCTTGTTAGGGAGACAGTGGATCTATTCTTGTCTCCCACCCCCCACCCCATCCTCCTCCCCACAATGTGGCACTGGAACCCACACGGGAAATTTTGGACTCGGCTAACGAAATTTTATAGAGAAGCGAGCGCTAACACAGTGCAGTCACGCTGTGGGCTAAATTTTGGCACAATCAGAATTCGGCTAACAAAGATTTCGCCTAACGAATAAGGTTCTGGAACACATATTCTTCGCTATCCGAAGTATCAGTGAAGAACATACAGAACCATATGACTAGACACAACAGCATCTGCGTACCATACACACCGGCTGACACCAGATACCTCTTTATTTCGTGAAGGGGAAGGCAAACATGATTATAGGTGTAATGTTGTGAATTCCCGGGGAAATCCCAGAGAGTTCATGATAGGGAGGACAAGGTCAGAGAACCAGTGATACAAGAGAAAAACGAGATAAGTGGGTCTCGTGTATCCCATGATGAGTTAAATAAGGGATACAAGAAAAGCAGGGGACTGGAACGAAAGACGTGAACCGAGAGACGGGAGTAAGACAGTTGAAGTTCGGACCTGGTTGCGAGAGGTAGTATGAATGGACGTAAGAGAAGAATTACTTGTTTCGTTTCGAGAGGAGATATGAATGCTTCCTACATGTCTTAATACTGAGTACAAGGTTTCGTAAAGGATGGATGGACGATTCGGAAGTCGCTGATGGATCGAAGTAGTGTGTGAGAAGTTTGACCAGGCCCTCAGAATCAGCCAAGCAGAACGAACACGAGGACGGGAGAATGTGTGCCTACGACATGTTGTGATTCAGCTAATAAAAGCTTGTAACTCATTATTGGTCTCTGCTGTGTCGTCACGACTTAACTGTTCGTCAGAAAGCAATGTGGCTTACCAAAACATACCCCTAGCAGAGCACATTGCAAAAGAGAGAAAATAGGAAATACGAGAATCACACCGTGGAAGAGACAGAGACCTTACCGCCTAGAATTTCCACAGACAGCAGTGGGTACTGTAGCCAACCTCCAATGTAAAGATGGGGCATAATTATTTAAATATTCGTTTGAAATACCTGCTGAGATAGAATCAGTTAAGTAATAAAGTACATAACACAACCCTTGGCTGGCAAGGGTCGTGGAGATGTATCGTTGGAAGCACTAGCATTGAAAACCCACCATCTTTCTCCGTCTTCCACTTGCTGAACAAATGAATAATAAATCCTGCCCATTTCTTGATGTTGTCACTCCATTGTCTTCTTCCCCACCCTCCCCCCTTCTTTTTTTTCGACTCAACCCCCGCCTCCAACCCCACCCCCCCCTACCCCCTCCCAATGTTCCTCAAAGTAGTCTTTGCAATCGAATCATGTTTCGCCACATGTCCTGACCAGAAAACTAACTTGCGACGTTTCACCACTGCCATGAGAGACTCCTGATGTCCTGCAAACTTGATTTTTTTTTTCGGACATATTTTTTTAGTTTTATGTTATTTATAGCTAATTAGTAAAAATTTGTTAAATAATTGTCTAGGGAAAACATAATTTGTTTTCAAAACAATATTCTCCCGTAGTGAATTGAAACGACCACAAACAATACATTGCACAATTTACTAGATTTTTGATAAGACGAACAATGTTTTACTAGTTTTTTCATAAGACGAACAATGTTTTACTAGATTTTTGATAAGACGAACAATGTTTTACTAGTTTTTTTGACAAGACGAACAATTTTTTACTAGCTTTTTGATAAGACAAACATGTATCAAGAAAGAACATATAGTACTTTAGTGGAATTATTTCAGATTTTCGTGTTCACCTGTTGACACACAAGCAGATACCCCTCAGAACTAAAGTGAATCTTATCAGAACTATTTTTAGGCCGACACTATGCTATCAATGCCAGACGTGGACACGTATATCCTCCAATGAACGTACAATTGTGACAACATAGATTAAATGCATCAGACGAGCTGCAGGAGTTTCAGGGAAAGACAGAATACGAAATCATGAAATCAGACTAATGCTAGGAATAAAGCTAGTCTTACAGGTCATCAAAGAACAACAAATGAAGTGGTTTGGGCACCTTGCAAGAATGCCCTGTTACTATCTACCACAACGAGCTACAGTAAAACGTTACAAAGGATCAAGAGCGAGTGGAAGGCCTCGGAAAATATGAAGTGATGGCATTAAGAACAGCCTTACAGAAATGAACTTCAATTTAATAGTGCTCTTGACAAAGCTCATCAACGAATGTTACATCTCTCCCCGACACTTCGCTGAGGTACAAGGTGGAAGAGAAGAAGAACAAGAAGAAGAAGAAGAAGAAGAAGAAGAAGAAGAAGAAGAAGAAGAAGAAGAAGTGTTCCATTATATGTTGATGCGACAGCGACATATGCCCGGCAATAAATTGTGCAACGTAATGCTATTCTGTGCATTATTTATTTTTCTGTTGGCAAATTGGCGATACCTTGTACTTACAGGTAAACTGGTGGGCAAGGACCCGGCCGATACTGTAAAACTCTACACGTATGTTCTAGCAAAGGACGGCAGGCCAAAGAAGGTGGCAGCTTCGGGAACAAGAATTATTCTACAAAATATAGAAGGTACTTTTTTTAGGGTTTTACCATTCTAGGAAAGTAACGGTGGCTGGCATTTTTAAAAAAAAGTCTTGCATTTAATTTCAGCTTGGGCTGACAAGGGAAAACCTACTGGTGTAGCGGCTGCAACGTCGATGTTGTATCTACCAAGTTATTTCACAGTCAGGGCGGTTTGTCTTTCAGGTGCAGATGCATTTTCTCTATCCATGAGAGTTCGTACGTTCCACGCGCCGAACTTTAGCGGTGTGTTACGAGTCTTTAGTTTTCGTTTTTGTCCACCGCAGAAGAGGGGTTCCTTCCAGCCGCGACATGCTGGTCGAGTCATGGTAGAGCGAGCAATTTTTAGTGCACTTTTTAGCCCCTTCCTCGTGTCATGGAGGGGAGCAGTGCTTTCCTAAACAGCGCTGCTCAGTCGCTCAGGGGGCTGCCGAATTCGACCACTGCTCCTATCAGTGGACAGACCCCATATGGCCGCCTGCGTGCAGGTCTGCGACTACGGCTGCCAGCGTAACCCACGTCTGCCGCCTCGTCGCTCGCCCATCACCACAGGACTTAAAAAGATTAGTGAGGAAGGTAATGAAATGAAAGTGACTTGCGCAAGGACTTGGATTTAAGTGAGGAAGAGTTGCGCAATTCGTCGACCTCACTCTCTCGCCTGTGTCTATCTTGATCCAATGGCAAGACAATGTCGAGACGATTGGAAATGGAGCTAGGTGCAGTGGATAACCAAGGCGTCTTAAGTGTCCTGTCCTGCTCGAAGCTCTTTACTGCGCCTGCTGGTAATCGTCTTCTTGCCCGTTGACCAAAAAAAAAAAAAAGGTTTCATCCGCACAAGCCGCTGTCCAGTCTTTGCCTGCAGGGAAGGCATACATATCCCTATGACCGAGTGGTTTAGAGCCAGATCGGCTACCCTCTCCCGGTTTTAAACCAGCCCGACAAAGCTGTTGCCCAGGAAGTGGCCGCTGTCGTATGCTGACAGTTGCTGAGAGCCACAGAAGAAAGCTGAGTGCCAGACCTACTCCAATGGTGGTGAACTGTCCTGAGAAAGACATGACGGTCACCTTACCAGAGATGCTACTAGTATCTGACACTTCAGACCCCCTGTGTAGCGTCTAGACGATTACTTGCGGATCGAAAGGTCGTGGGTTCAAACCCTGAGAAAGCCGAACTTTTTTTAAATGACCCTTCCCGCCATTTCAACCCAGCCTAAATGGGTGCCAGATGCATTCCTGGGAAGTAAAGCTAGTCGGTGTGTTTATTTGACTACATCATCCACCGAGTCTAGACTGGTCTATAAAATATAGGGCTAGCCGTATATGCCAAATACGTCCAGCCCAATTTTGAACTGAAAACAGACACCCAGAGCATGTGAGTTTAACCGTAGCACCCCCACCCTTTTTTTTTTCTTAAACAAGATCACCCGGCTGAATGAGTTAATTACTGGCAAAGGTATTAAAATCCGAAGCATTGTCGTCAAGCAATAAACGAAGCAAAATACTCACTTTAAATAAACAAGGGATAGGGGAGGGGTGTGTTGGAAAGGGGGGGTGGTGTTGGTGGGGGGGGGGGGGGGGGGGGGGAAGAGACAAACGTTCTACAATAAAACTGTGTCTGACAGTTTGTTCATTATATGTAATGTTTCTACGGCCTCAGTAGTTCCCCTTATGCTTATTTAAATAAACTTCCTATCAATAAATATCAGACATTCAAAGTGCATGTTCTGGTGTATGTTCTAGTGTATGTTCTAGTGTATGTTCTATTCTCGAGCTAATTCCTGGATATTTTATGTGTTATAAAACGGGATAAATGGCATTGGGCTCAGAAAACATAAACTACAAATAAGGCGATTATCAAAAGAGAGACGTGCGACTTGATCATCTTAGCAAGATTTTATGGTGGTGACGGGGATATCGTTTTTGCCTCTGTGGTCAGAACTTTTCAAATGGAGAGAGAGGGTGGTTTAAGGATCTCCTTGTTCATGAGAGTTCACGGGATCGATAAGTTAGCTTCCAGTCTGTTTTGTATAGGACTTCTTGGTCTTTCGAATTGATATCATAGAGAAGTTACAGGATTTGCAAATAAATGTTCCTTAATCTGGAATGGGCCATTGCGAAACTAGTCAGTGAGATCTGGATAACAAATTGGGAATTTTTGCACCTCATCATCATCATATAGCAGGTCCTTTGCAAAACGTCGCTCTCATCACGCTCTGACTGAAATAAATGCAGTCACTTGACTGCTCTCTCGCTTCCTTTACTTTTTTTTAATTCAAAGAGTCACTTTTATTATGTGCCCTCCTTCATGTTGGTCAGCCCCTGCCCCTCTGTCCTGGTACCATGCCTTCTGTTATTGATTTTTTCCAAACCGCCTTAGCCCTTGATACGCCAAAATATTTGAGCTTCCTAGACAAGATGCTGTTTATTAGCCAGTCTTCCTTTTACATTTACAGTATTTCTCCTTTTCTTTGTCCGTAATGTTCTGATAATCTTTCTATAGCATAAATGCGCATATTTTCTTTCTAGGAGAAAGGACTGGGAGATAGTAAACGATTTACATCCGTATGTTGCTACAGGGAAGATACATGCTCTGAAAATTTTCATTTTGATTTCCCTACTGGTGCTTAACCATAGACTTTTAGTGTAGTTTAATCTTTGTATTGGTGTGGCTATCCTCTTTTTGATTTCTGTCAAACAAGTCCCCATTGCTATTTATTATAGAGCCTTTATGTTCAAACTTTTTGCCATTTTTCAATTTCTTCAAAATTTATTGTTATTTTTGGGTGACAACCAGTTTTGTCTGTGGACATTATTTTTTTTTTTTTTTTTTTTTTTTAAATTCAAGAATAGGTTTTAACTTCACTGTGCCTTTGGACAGACACGATTACACTTTGCTATTCCCTCTACACTGTTCGAAAGGAGGACTGTTTCATCTGCGTAGTGAAGTCCCGGTATAGGGTTGCCACCAATTATGAACGGTTTATAACTGTCACAATTCTGGTCATTTTTGACATTTCTCATTATGTTTTTTTACGCATATATATATGTATGCCTCACTCCCTTTTGCACCTCGAACCAATCCGATGTTTCACCAGCTGCTCTGATGGCTGCTTGTTGTTCATGATATAAATTTTCAACTAAATGCCTTTTTGCACCTCTTTTTTTTTTTTTGGGGGGGGGGGGAGGGCCTCAGTTTTTCTAAAATATTAGAAGGTGGGGGGGGGGGGAGGTCATGTTGTCCGAGCCGCAGGTTCTAACGCTCATGCTTCATTAAACGGGGGTCAGTGTAATGTTCGGCTTCTGTTGATTCCAGGAGTCGGCAAAATTAGGCTCAGATACCCTATTGCACCCGTACACGGGGAAGGCAGCCCTGTGTGGAAGGAGCTGAATGCGCTGAAGGATAAAGTGTCAGATACAGGCAAGGCTCCTCCATCGACTGTGTTGTTTCAGGTAAGTCGGACAGGTAAATCGGAAATCTGTGGCTTTAGGGATTGTGAACACGTTCCATAATGCTGACAAACCAAGGTTCGAAAGTGGAACTTTTTGCTGGCTGCTGAAGATGACGACTGGAGGCTCATGGGAATACTTCGAATGTTGCCATGTCGGTTCTTAACTTAGCACAACTCATTGTGCTTAATGTTAGTCTTCACATTGATTGTTTGGCTGTTGGGTTGGTTAGCTGTTCTGTTGATTTATCTCTTTTAAGAAAGCGCAATGTTTCTCAAGTTCGGTGCAACGATGGCCAGATCGACTGAGCTCTGACACGTCTTTCAACAGGTGCTCGAGTTCTGAAGCGCCTTTTAATAGACACTCGAGTTCTGAAGCGTCATCCAACAGAGATGCCCAAGTTCTGAACCGTCTTCCAACAGATGCCCGAGTTATGAACAGACGCGTGAACTATGAAGCGGGATTTAACAGATGATTGAACTCTTAAGCGTGTTCCAACAGATGCGCGAATTCTTAAGCGTATTCTAACATATGCGTGAACTCTGAAGCGTGTTCCAACAGATGAGCGAACTCTGAAGCGTCTTGCAACATATGCGCGACTTATGAAGCATTGTGCAAGAGATGGCCCGACAAAAAAGACACACTGAAAAATGGGAGGGGAAGAGGGGAGCCTGAGTCCCTTTATAATGTTTAGCGGTCAGGTAGAGGGTGAACACAAGGTTCTTTAGCCATGTTTAAGTAAGCAATAAAAATAATAATTATCACTATAATAATATTCGGTACTATTATTATTATTATTATTATTATTATTATTATTATTATTATTATTATTATTATTATTACATGACGAATGCCTCTTCCCCCTTTCCCCCAGGAAATAATATGAAACAAATACTTAAAACAAGAACATACATATATGGCTTAGGGTACCAATTAGTCCTATTATATTTGTTTAGGAGAATAAGGGCGGCTCGATCCTACCAAAAATTATTCAACCTCCCCCATCCCCTTCCCTCCTCCTCCTCCTGGATAGGAGCCTCAATGTGTTGAACCTTCAGGATCCAGCGCCCCTGGCATGCAATGATTGAAACGAGGTTGGTGTTAAGGGTTTTGCCTGACACAGAACCTAAAGAGTTATTTCCAAGGGGACTGTGTTACATACATCTCCACCTCCTCTCCAATCCTAAAGCATGCAGGTTGTTCCAGGCTGGTATTGGACCTTACATCTTGGGGAGGCATTTTCTCGAAACACCCGTCAGTTTTAAGAATGGCACAGCACGGAAACACAGACGAATAACAAGAAATTGCCTCAGATGTGAGTCCTCTCTTTGCTTGTGTGAATCTGCCTGCAGATGACAGAGACGACTCGAAACCCGCCAGGGGAGCACACCCACGATGTCACTATCACCTACGATGAGTTTCTCATGCTGCATAAACGAATGACGGTTAATGTGACGTCAGATGTCGCTCAAGGACACGCCCACAAATTGGTTTTGACCTATAAACCTTCCAGAAAGTAAGTAACGGCTGTCAATTTCTTCATTTCAAACGTTTTCAGGACAAAATTTTTTGTCATTTGAAGCCCCACTCTGGCTTTTGCCAGGGGCCGCAATATAGGCAGGCCATATATATGGCCAAATGTCTGAACGCGGTTTCTGGGACCTCTCCACGACGATCCTCATCCACATGGTGGCACTTTGTGTCATCGGGTGTTTATCGCTTGTGTGATGTCCTGGTGGGGTAGAAATTCAGTTCAGTTCAGTAACGGCAACAAACATATTGGATACCTTACTTCCCGTGTTGATTTCGGAGCCCCATTGTGGGGAAAACAAAAATAGACCCACTGCCTTCCAAGCATGTCGTAGAATTGGACTAATTATGGGCTTCCTTCGAAGTCGGAGTGCATCTGCCCGAGTGGCAAGAAACAACCAACTGCATACAAATAAACCGTAAAACGGATGTACACGCAAAACTCAGGTCCGTGCACAAAGCCGAAGTCCAGAGGAACGAACTACCAGGACTTTACGCGGGAGCTTATGGAACGAAGCAGAAGGATACCTTACGCATTTAGTATGAGTGCGCCGGTTTCTGGATTTTACGGGGGCTGCAGTTTGCATCACTTTAGCTGACTCAGGAAAGGAGCAATTATGGGTTGACTCTGCTGGGAAGTTGGAGCCAGTGTGCATATATTCATTGTTAAAGGTAAAGGTAACGGTAAAGTCGGGAGATGTGAACCAGCGTCATGCACACGGTTATAAACCATACATGCTCTGCCACCAGTACGGACAGCTAATAAGAATGTCCGCCTGTGTCGCCGTCCGCACTTAACTTTGTAGCTACAGCGACGTTCCTCCTTCTACCCCAGAGTGTCAACTCTGGTACCCATTTCCTAAAGGCTGGGTGAAACCTGGGAACCGTCCGGTTTCGAACACCGAACAGCGAGTCACAGCTGGATTTGAAAGCGAGCCTCTTATCGACTGCAATAACGCGGCCTTACGTATTGTGCTACGGAAAATGCGTAAGGTGTTTGTGGCATTGGGGAATCAGTTCAATAATATCGAAATACTGATTCAGCTACCAGTGATTCGTTAGCAGACGGCTTCAGTATGATGAACGGGTAGGCTTTCTGCTTTTTGTAGTGGCAAATTAATGTTTCTGACAAACTGACAGGATATAGTTCTGTTGCCCGGCTACTGTGCTGAGTGCATGACGCGACACTGTGAGCTGTGTATTTCATTTTAAATGCTTTTTGACTATGCCGAACGTATTTTTCGTCGGGAATTGCAGATTTATAAAATAGGTAGTGGTTTGTTGCCAATGAACTGGTGGTGCCTTATACGATTAATTGCCTGTGCAACTACCCACCCATCTCTTCATCCAACTATCTAGCATCCATCCGTCCATCCGCCACCAATCTATCTATCTATTAATTTTTCCCCACCCCACAACCACCTATTCATCCATCCACTCATCCATCATTTATCCATCCATCCTTTCTTTCATCCATCTATCTATCCCTCCGTCCATCCATCCTTCCACTCATCCATCTTTACACACCCTTATCCACCAACCCATCCATCCATCTTTCTACGCCCTTATCCACCCACCCATCCATCCATCTGTCAACCCACTTACCCATATATCCACACGCATATCTGTGTTATTTCTATCCAGTTACACGTACAAAACTTGCGGTGGCTACTCGCGCTGCTGGGACGGACATCCCCGACCTTTAACCCTCATGACGGACAACGAACACATTACACAAGCAATCAGGTAATTTCATTTACTTTTATTAATCCGAGAAGCCATGGTAGCTCGGTTGCTGTCTGTCAACTCTAAGGTCATGAGTTCGAATCCGCGACTCTTCGTGAGGGTTCAAGGTACCATAGTTGGAGATTTGAGATTTGAGGTTTGAGGTTTGAGGTTTGAACAACGGATCAACATCGTTGTTGCCCATAAATACTCCGTTCTGCTTCTTACTCAAGCCAGTGAACACGAAGAAGAAGAAGAATTCGCAAAGGGTTTATGTATATGTATATATATATATATATATATATATATATATATATATATATATATATATATATATATATATATATATAATATGCCGGGCTCGCTAACCTAGTTGGCTAAACCGGATTGCGCGGTGACCGGGTGACGAACTCCTTGTGGTCCGGGCTCACGCCCGGGGGTAGGCAGAAAAGCCACATTTCTCCCAGATTTACGGTATTTATCATGGAATCAAGGCCGAAAGGTTGCGATGTCCGTAATACCAAGCCTAAGGGTTAACAACTCATGGCTTCTGGATACTAATATATATTTATAAAACTGACTTTGGTGCCCATGTTTACCCAGCTTACCATTGGTAGTACGAAATGTCATGGGAGGTAAAGGTGGTCGGCGTTACAACATGGCTCATGGCATGTTATTTGTCTACAAAACTATGTGTCCAGCCCCATGTGCTCTCTTTGTACAAATAGCCAGGAAATAACCCATTATTTTTTTTACAAACCTCTATAACGTGAACTCGCTCAAGAAGAACCCTTGGTTATCGTGAAAAAAAAAATTGTGGTACCAGAAGGAATCATTGGCACTCTTTCGATTAACGGCCAGTGGATCGAAAACTATTTCTCACAGCGCTTAACGCGCAGATGTGGAAACTGATGATGATGGCCCCAATTATTTCACGGCATTATTGGTACGTATTGTTCCATATTGTTCCATATTTTGTTGTTCCATATTTTGTATAACCTCTTTAAAACCCCTTGACCTCTTTGTAACCTCTTGAACCCGTAACCTCTTGAACCCCTTGAGGCTCTAAAAGGACAGTAAATAATAAGGGACCGGTATTCGGAAGAGTGCCTTCCAATTATTATTATAGTTCTGAGTCGTGCCGTGCTATGATACAAAAGCTATCGCATCAGGGGTCACCGTATGGGAGTGGGGAAAGGAGACAGCCCCAAATACTGTCCAGGCCGGTGACGAAGTCGTCTACAGGCGAGCCAATGGGCTACCCGGTTGCCGATGGCGACCTAACTCTAGGCTGTGGCTTATTTAGTTTATAGCTAAATCCAGCGCTGGATCTTCATCGGTGCCTCATAGATTGTCTTGCAGGGTGGCTCCTGTGAGCCTATTGTTCCCTCTGTGGCAAGCAAAGTCTTAATAACTTCCTGTAAGAAACAGTCGTGTACTTCTTCGCTTAGGCCATGCAGTGTGGCACCAGTAGTCATGTCAATCCCCAACCTTCTGTCTGTGTAGCTTCTATCAATTCTGACACAGATGATCTTCCATGCTATGATGTCAAACTGTTCAGCATTTTCTCTCCGGGTCTCTATATTTAATCAAGTCGTCTCCGTGTGGGATGCAATTTTTAGTTATTTCGAAACCTTACCTTGGCCTTTGCCGGGGCCCTAATTAGGCCTATAGGCCTTACATACACACACACACACACAGGCACATGCGCACGCGCACACACGTACGCATATACACACACACAAGTACACACGTGCGCACGTACACACACACAGGGACTTCTTTTATATAAAGAGGAAGGTGTCTGTACTAAACAGCAAGTGTCTTTTAAAGCGCTCAGAAACTGAGGCCTAAAACAGGTGCTGGTACTGCGTACCGACAGAAAAAAAAGCATATATATGTAAATGTATGTATGTGTGTGTGTGTGTTTGTATACATATATACGAGTGGTAAATACATATACTTTCACAGCGCACGAAATTCGCAATCTGGCATGTGGAATACTGGCAGTTCCCAAAAGTATTATGATTACTGCCACAACAACCTTGAGTGCCTCAAGTCCATTGTGTAGCTACGAGGGCAAGACCACAATAAAGTGAGTACATGCCTTGACACTAGTTGTGGACTTTGCTTACCGATGTATAACAAAACTGTTAAGGTTGATTTGTTGGCTGGTTGGTTTGTGGAGGTTATTACAGGCGGGTCTTGCTCTCACCATCGCCACGGGCTAGCAGTCGCTGCCTTCATAAAGCAGAGTATCGCTTGGAAAGATGCAAATGTGCCAGCACTATGGTTGAGGGTTGATTGGTTGTTTGCAACACCCCCTCCACTTTTCCACCTCCAGAATATGATGGCCATGAAACCAACAACTATTACAACAATAACAACTACTACTACTATTACCACCACAGCTACTGCTACTACTAACACCCCTTGTGACATGGACACATTCTAGCTGATCAGACCATCCGCTAGGAATCTTGAAAACGACTGATTCCACTTGCTCCGTCACATCCACGTCTCTGTATGGTCAGAATCTTGAAAACAACTTCTAATTGCTCTGTCACATCCTGTCCGGTCAGAATCTTGAAAACAACTTTCACTTGCTCCGTCACATCCACTTCCCTGTCCGGTTGATTCTTGAAAACAATTTCCACTTGCTCCGTCACATCCACGTCCCTGTCCGGTCAGAATCTTGAAAACAACTTCCACTTGCTCAATCACATCCGCGTCCCTGCCTGGTCCAGAATTCAGCTTGCCATGAAACCCCGGAAACCACAATATAACTGCTGTGCGGCTGCAACCCTAGGAGTTGCAGACTACTTACCTCTTGTTCTAAAACCTGGGCTCATTGCTGTGGTCTGGCATTTCCGATTGTTTTTGTAATAAACAATTTACAGCCCTGTCAGGCACTTATGTTTTCCTTCTTCTCAAAGTCCATGCCCTGTGGCATTGGTAGTCATGTCTATCCACAACCTTCTGTCTCCTGTACTTTCAATCGATTCTGACACAGATGATCATGTCTATCAACAACCCCCGTGTGGGTTCTGTGGGGAAAACTCCTGTACTTTCAATCGATTAATGGGGACACAAGTCGGAGTGATCTTCCAAGAGAATGTCTGTAAAACTATCAAAACAGTTCTAACATCTGTTCAGTAGTGGACGAGCAACCAGAACCTTCCGCCAGAGTTTACAGCTGGTGAACGCGAAAGGAAGAAGAAGAAGATATCAAACTCTACCATCCCCCCCCCTCCCCCCTTCCAACTTTCCTACTGTCACTATGTACTTCACTTTTCTCCTTCTCATCACATGACCAAAGAATGTAGAGTGGCTCTTTCTGGTGTGGGCAATCAGTTCTCTTCGTGAGCCAGTTTCTTTCAAGACATCTTAATTACTCTGTTTATCTGTCCAGGGTATTCTCATCATTCGCCATTCATCATCCGCAGCTTCCAAATACATTTTCACTAATTTACTAACTTTCCATGATTCACACCCGTAGGCTATATCAATATAGTATTTATGTAGCTTTTAGGAAATGTTCTTTCTCGCCTCAACTGACAAAGAAAGTTTGCATAAAATATTCTTCATTTTGTAAAATGCTGCCTTTTATTTGCTTGAGCTGTTCGACATTTAACTTCTTTAATACATCTTTCATCTGATGTTATCAGGAAACCCAAGTACTTAAACATATCAACTTGCTAGAGGTTTGTTCCATTTACTTTGATGTTGCATTTTGGAGGGTCGGTTTTCTTTGTAATTACCATTACTTCTGTTTTAGCTGGTCAAACTAAGACCCTTGTTGTCACTTTCCGTTGTAATTATATCCATCATTTCTTGCAGTTGGGTATCACTTGTTTTACTTATATATATATATATATATACACACACACAAACATATATATATGTAAATATAAAGAAGAATGAATAGGTAAGGCGAGATGATATCTTCCTGTTACCTTAAATCTTCAACCTAAAATACATGTCAAATTGTTTATCATGCTAGTTATTCGTGTGTTATCTGTTTCCAGATTCCGGAAGAAACAGTAAGTCCTCTGCAACTACCTATCTCAGATTTTATCAGGCTATTTCTGCTTACACCAGCATATTCAAAGTTTAAAACAACATTTCCTTTTTATGTTTGTCGCATTGCTATTTTATTATTTTAAAGTTTAATTTACAAATGCAGTCACACTGTGTGTTTGCGTGTGGACAGGAGTTGACACACGCACTTTATTGAAGCGTCGCAGCATTAGCAAGGTTGAGAACCAGTGATTTATAACATCCGTCCCCCCTACCCCCAACCCCTCCTTTTTCTCCCCAATAGCATACGACCATTCGTCTCTATATTCTCACTCCAGAGATCCAATTATTTTTTTTTCAATTGCTTATTGAGGTTTGAACTACGGATTAACATCACGGCACACGGCACCCATCAGTGCTCCATTCTACTTCTAACTGAAGTCAGAGTTCGAGGTGCAGTGCATGGGCACCGTAGCACCAATGAGGATTCTGAAATATTTTGGTAGATTTGTACACTATACACACGGGCGTCCGATCTCACTACTCTGGGAGAATACCAGGGGAAATTACTACAAGTCCACGTGAACAGAGAAAATCCCAGCCTTCACCGGGGCTTGAACCCGGGACCTCTAGCACTCGAGGCAGACACCATTCCTCGAGACCACGCAGCCCCTCTCAATAAATTTAGTATCCAGTTCTTTGCGTCATACAGCAGATTGAGAATAAACACTATTAAACAATTGGTCTGTAAAAATATGGGTGCTCTTCCCATATGCCCGACGTGCCTACAGGCATGAAAAGGGATCTTTACTTACAGTTTCAGTGTAGTTCATCGCTTTAGATGTTAGTAGTTTTCACCTGATGTAAATATTTTTGGCCATTCCTATTCTCTTTTTCACTTCTATTTCTTTTCCTTCTTATTCATCAGCTCATACTCAAGAGGAAAATTACGGCTGGTCGCCCATTTTTGGACAAGCCTTGCTCTAGAACTTGATTTTTGCATACTCATCTATTTTACAGATCAAGCTTATTTGTATGCAGACTGTTGGTTTTCCATCTCTGAAGGAAATACCCTTAATTACTTGTTTATTACGGCACATGTTGGGGAAGGTTTGCAAGCTGGCAAACACCCCACACATATATTACAAAACATAAAATCCACAGCAAACATACATAAGCAGACACAAAATGGATGTAAGAACAGAAGTCATTACCAAGATTTAATTCTATAATATATGCTTCAAACAACACAAATGTTATCAAATGAACACTTGTGATACAAGATAATGTAATATAAAGTTAAATATCATCAAACATAACTTATTTACAGTCCATATACAACAGGGCCATTCATCTTAAGTCTAATCAGGGGCCAAATGTAGGGAAAATGGGGACTGTCGCAGACCAGATGCCCGAGACTCAGTACAGAAATATCATGAATGCAATATTATTGGCAGGTGACCCAGGGCTATTTGCTAGGCTCCTGCAGGCCCAGATTTAACCTGTGGGCGGCCAGTTGAAAAGCACCGGACTACAACATCTGGCTACCAAGGTACCAAGGTGAGGGTCTTCGGGAAATGGTCACGCCGTTGGCCTCGGTCGGAGGGTTTGCTTCACAGCTGCACCCTTCATTTCATGAGTGCAGTTTTTACGGAGGCCTCTGTGGATCGTCACTGGAGCTACTGAGTTCAGCAGGTGGCTAGTTGTTCTGCATAGAGAGACTGTGGAATATGGGATAAACCCGGTGCAATGAAGTCGACCCTCTGGACTTTGACTTTACCAAGCTTTGCTGTCTGCATCAGTTACAGTTGTTTTATTGTTACTTTTGTTTTTTTTCTCCATTGTCATCCTACTTATACCATTTATTCTGAGATAAAAATAGTAATGAAGATGTCTTGAACTGACTCACAAAGGGTGCTGAATGCCCACATCAGAAGGATTCAATCTACATTCTTTGGTCATGACATGGAAAGGAGAAAACTGGAGTAGATCGAGATGGTGGGAAAGTTGTAGGGGAAAAGAGGCAGAGGAAGACAGAGAGGAGATGCTGGATAGTCTGACATCTGCAGATACTCCAAAGGCAAGATGGACGTTTAATCAGAATGCTACTAGCAACATTAGTATCTCGAACTCTTCACTGGCTGCTGAAAACGGGATGGAATGCCCCATGTGCTGTGATGTTGGTATTTGAATCAACTCAACTCAACATCATGGCATGGAAAATCATCTGTGTCAGAACTGAATCGAAGTATACAAGACAGAAGATTGTGAATAGACATGACTACCAATACTCACAAAATGTATTCATTCATAACAATCTATCAATACATATTAAAATGACAACGTAATACTGTTTGAGAACAGAAATGCTGAATTTCTGTTGGACAATTCCACCAAAATAAAAAAGTCACCATGTCCTATCAGCTGTTGTTGTGAGTTCATATAATCTTCTTCTTAATATTCACTGACTGTTAACTCCAGCGGAAAGTTCTGGTTGTTCATCCACTCCTGGACTTTGGTCTTGATCCAGAACTTGAGGTTTGCTAGCACATCCATTTGACAGACCTGGCTTATTTGTATGCAGACTGTTGGTTCCTTGCCTCTCAGGCAGATGCACTCCAATTCTGAAAGAAATCCACCTACTAAGACATGCTTGTTAAGGGAGCAGTGGGCGTTTTCTTTGTTTTCCAAAACGGAACCCCAGAATACATAGGGGAAAGTCAGGATATTAAACACTTGAATACTTTGACACAGAATATAAACCCACATATTTTATCAATTTACAGAGACATCAAGGGATCAAGACAAGTTATCACTGACTAGTTCCATTACAAGGGGTATTCAAGGTAGTTACCATTGACTTGTTCCATTACATGGGGTATTCAAGGTAGTTACCATTGACTAGTTTCATTACATGGGGTATTCAAGGTAGTTACCATTGACTTGTTCCATTACATGGGGTATTCAAGATAGTTACCATTGACTAGTTCCATTACATGGGGTATTCAAGGTAGTTACCATTGACTTGTTCCATTACATGGGGTATTCAAGGTAGTTACCATTGACTTGTTCCATTACATGGGGTATTCAAGGTAGTTACCATTGACTTGTTCCATTACATGGGGTATTCAAGGTAGTTACCATTGACTTGTTCCATTACATGGGGTATTCAAGGTAGTTACCATTGACTTGTTCCATTACATGGGGTATTCAAGGTAGTTACCACTGGAGTCCAGTTAGAAAACCAGCTGCCCTGGTGACCTTTCTGACATAAATTAAAACAATATGAACCACCTGACCCTTGTAACTTCATTCATCTCTTGATATCTGCATAAATTCGACATTACTTTGTATTTGCCATTTTCAACCAGTCACTATAAATGAAAACAAAAAGGAATTTTTCTAAACTTATGAGATGATTAACAAAAAAGATTAAGAAAACGGTTTCCATGCCAAACTGGCATTTTGGAAGCTTTCTGTGCTAAGCTTATTTCTGATAATATAAAGCAGAGCTTTCCACACTTTTCATTTAGGGGACACATTATTTAGACAAGCATATTTTCGCGACACAGTAATTCAGTCTACCAGCAAACTAGAGGTTCAGCTAACTTTTTAGTCATGTGGACACATAAATAAATTGTAATCATGAAATGTTTCATTGATACAACCTAGCTCATCAAAACCTTTCATTTCTATTAAAAATTTATAATATTTCCTAGATAAAGACTTTGCTATAATTTATACACAATAATGATAAATCCAAGTGGATAACACCAAGAGAATAATACTAACGGAATAAAATCAACTGAAAAACACCTGTTCGTGTGTCACATTCACACTGCATAATGTGTCGCGACACAGTTTGGGCAGCTCTGCCTTTAAGGGATCACTACTAAAGTTTGTCTTGGCAAATTATTGAATACATGTGGGTGGCACAATAACATGTTTAACTACTTGTTTTAACGACATGGACTGTGAACCATGGAGTGCAGCCATACGCCCATTAACAAAATCCCCACAAACAAGTTACTGAACACAGAACTACTGGTTCAGCAGGCAAGTGAGCTAGCTTTAGCAACCACATGAGATTAACTAAATATGATTAATTACTTTTCAAATGATGTCAGTAATTATTATCGTTTAACATATATTATAGATATAATGTTATCAACAGTTATTTGATGTTATTACTGCACACCATAAAAGTGTAACCATTTTGCCACTTTGGCTATGTGCAACATGTGCAGTTGCACAGAAGGACAACAATTTTTGGAGGATGACAAAATTCTAAGAGTGGCAAAATACAACAAGTAGTTTTTAAAAAAATTATCTGTATTGCTTTCATCATTCTGAAAGTTCCATCTTGTATTTGTACACCACTCCTCAATTAGGACCTCAACTTGTACATTTGTTTCATCTGCCGTGTAATTAGTTCAGTTTAAATACTTCCATACAGTTTAAAACTGAAGTTAATAATCACACAACTTATTGCTGGTAGTCAATGCTGAAGTTTAGCCGAGGGACAAAGGGGCATAAAATAAATGACTGCACAGGGACGTCATACATACTGAATATAGCCCTGAATATAATATAGGTCTATTTCCAATTTTCCTAAGGCATAAAAGAGTTTCTGTACTTGACTTAGTTACACAAATATTCTTCTTTAGGTTCACCGGCTGTAAACTCTAGTGGAAAGTTCTGGGTGCTTTATTAATCCAACAATTTAGAGTTTCCCAGCTTTCTGATGCTTTTAACGACCCCAAAACATTTAGAACTGGCCCTAACCCCAACCCACCTACATCCCACGAGAAGAGTGCAACCTGGATCTCATCACTGCATGCAGCCTGGGTTCCACGACTGCATGCAGCCTGGATTCCACAACAGCATGCAGCCTATCTACCACCCCCTGAAATATTAGACTGTCCCATGACCTGTGAATTTTCCCTGTTTGGGGTCAGAGATATATAAAGCACCAAGTTCTGGTTATTCATCCACCTCTGTACTTTGGTCTTGTTCCAGAACCTGAGTGTTTTGTGTGCTCACCTGTTTGTGTGGTACAGATCTAATCTGATATAAATGAAAAACACCTGCCTGGCTTCAAGTGTCACATACATTCTAGGAAACTCAGAGCTGTAAATGAAAAGGCAGAGTTCGACATCTGGCAACACTGTCTGGACTGATGCTGGCATGGTGGATGACGTTCTGTGCTGCCGTGTCCTCCGGCTGGAATATGCTAATATGGTGGTCAGGTAGAGTCACTGACTGGACGGCTGCCTCAAGGATCTGGTTTACTCCATGCACGTCAAGGGGGATGAGTCCTATTTCCTGCATGTCACTGCCAAAGCTGCACTGCTGAATGCTATCCTTGTGTCTCTCTATGAACGCATCATACCTAGGTTTTATTAAAAAAAAAAAAAAAGATGTAATAGCATTAGAGAAATCCATGATGGCTGACTAAGAATTGAGCAAAGTGGAAGGAACAAACTAACAAACGAACAAACTTTATTTTCAAAGAGTCACAAATTGGGCACCCAGGCCCGCTATATATTCTGCCCTTCCAAACACCCATCTTTCACACAGCAGGTATTTTATATTAAAGAAGCATGTTATGTTCATAAAACAATATGCATATTATTAATATAAAGAAAAAAATTACAAAAGTATGGATGGTAAAAGGCATGTGCACACATACGCCCACCCACTCACTCCTCATTAAGTTACTAACTTACTCATATGAACATAGAAATTTACACACACATATATATATATATATATTTACATACATACACACACACATACATTACACACATACATACATACACTCTCTCCCGCACATACACACATACATATATATATATAGTAAAGTAAAGATCCCTTTTCACACCTTTACGGGCATCGGGCATTAGGGAACAGCATTCCATTTTTTACAGACCAATCGGCACTAGGTGGGTAGTGTGGTCAGCATTAAGCCAGCCGTCTATACTTTCCCAGGACAGCCATCCTGGTAACCACTTTAGGTAGGTTGGGTCGACCTGCCAGGTCCCATACCATGATAAAAATCCACGCAGCCAGCAGTGGGTTTCAATCGCAGTATGTTGGAATTACGAGCCAGACTCGCAACGCCTGAGCTGTGGACGCCGCGCACATATTTATATATGTATATATATAAACATACATACGCTTTCACTCATACAAGCATACATACACTCTCACTCATACTCTTAATCGTACATACTTTATTTTTGTTCCAGAACTTGATTTCAGCATGAGCATCCATTTTACAGATCTGGCTTAATTGTAGGCTTATTTGGATGCAGTCTGTTGGTTCTTTGCCTCTCAGGCAGGCACACCACAATTTCAAAGGAGACACCCCCTCAGTCAATTTTATAACATTCTTTTTGGGGGAAAATCTACTGTTTTTCCTCAACATAATGGGGCCTTGGAACTAACACAGAAATTACTAACTAAATTGTGTGCAGATCATTCTGTGAAGACTTGGATGATTTCTTTTTCTTCTTCATCACTTCCTTTTATACTGCACTGGGTGTTCTTCTAACCGCTTCTACCATAAACATACTGTGCTACTGTAGGGTTTCTCTGATGTTATATCTCCATCTAACTCGTAGTCTACCTCGTGCTTTTCATCCATCTTCTCTTTTGGTAAATGTCTTGTATGGTGTGGCATAGTTTTCAGGAAGTGATCAACTGTAGGTGGATCAGTGGTGTGTTCTACAGTCACCTGGCTTGGCATATCAAACTCCTTGCCCACAAACAACCCTTTGCTAGGTTTTAAAATATATTCACAGAGTGACCTGTCATAATGACAAATTCTCTGTCTGTATTAGCCTCTTCTGAGAAGAGACAAACAGAATCGCCAAATAGGCAATGAAACGGGAAACAGAGGCCTGAGGATGTACAAGGTTGATGAGAGAAGCCAAAGGTGCTGGACTGGATTTCATTCCTGATATCGAAGTGATGGCACCGGATAAAATGGAAAGAAGAAACAGACGTGTCATATGACACATCTCTGAATTCACTAAGTGTTTGTGTCCTTTCTATCTTCTCTTTTTCCCTAAAGTTCCCCTATCTTCTCCCTTTATGGGTGGCTACATGAAATGAGCAACGATTATATTTATACAAAGGTGTAATTCATGACACACACCCCCTCTCCCCCACCCCAACCCCAAATTGAAAGGTGGTAACTACAAACTAATGGTAATGAGAGTGAAGGTAAAGAAAGAAAGATGCTTAAAAAAAACCTACCATTCATCATTTGGTAAATTGTTTTCAAACTTTGTCTTTCGATTTGACTTGTTTAAGAGGTCTTGAACTTTATAAAGCAAGTCTTGACGAGTGCGCCCAAAGCCTGCTCTGTGCATATTGATGACATAATTAACCAGCTGTTGAATAAATATAATCACATTCACATTTAAGGACATACTGGAGGATTGTGGGGGGGGGAGCTCACAATATTTATGGTTTAAGACAATCTAGTGAAATCCCTGTATGGGTTCAGGGGCCCTCTTATAGAGGGGAAAAAAGAAAAGATCCACTGCCTACCCAAAAGCATGTCGTAAAAGTCGACTAACTGGGAGCTTCCTTTAAAGTCGGAGTGCATCTGACTGAGAGGCAAGGAACCAGCAGTCTGCATACAAATGAGTCAGATCTGTAAAACGGATGCACACGCAACACTCAGGTTCTGGAACAGGACTACAGTTGAAAAGTGGATGAACAACCAGAACTTTCCGCCAGAGTTTCCAGCTGGTGAACACGAAGAAGAAGAAGAATCTAGTAAAAAAGGTCAACAATGTGGAAAAACATTTATTTGGTATAACTGAATCATGGGTTTTAAAAAATACTGCACAAATTTAAGTGAGTGAAGAACAGAGTTTGGCACTGGACATGTAGTGAGGAAGCCAGAAACATATACTAAAAACCAGTCCCTCTAAATGTGAAAGTTAAGACAAATATAAAGACACCAAAGACATGTGGAGAAGAAGAACAAAGATTAGAAATAATTTATTAGGTGAAGTAAAGGATATACACTCTTGCTTTAGTTTTCCCATATCAGCCCACTTTAAAATGGCTACCAGGAAAAGTTTTGAGAAGTAAGGCAGTGGACATGACAGATACCATAGCACTGTTCAAGTGTTTAAAAAATATGGGGCTGACACTATGAGAAGGAGGATAGTGAGGTACTTTTAAATCAGAGGGCAAGCGAGACAGAGAAGACCAAGAGTTTAGAACTATGGTATGGAAGAATATCAGTCACCAAAAATGACTGACACTATATAAAACAGAAGGCTGTGGACTGACATGACTACCCTTGACACACAGAATGAACTATTACAGGTATGGTATTGGTTGATGTCTAGCATCAGTAAAAGAAAATGAAAGAGCAGACTGTCAAAAGCAGTAGCTATAGGAACATTTGTACTGGACAAGGGAGATATTCTGAAGACTATTTATGAACGAATGCTAGTGGACGACACAAGATTAGATGAGATAATATGTGTAAGAATGATGTGTGGACGAGAAATTAGGTGTGGATCTTGCAAGGAGCAATGTTTGAGAGGAAGAGAGCGGCATGTGTAGTGTGCATAGGTAAGGTGAGAGGATATCTCCCTGTTACCTTACATCTTCAACATAAAATACATGTCAAATTGTTTATCATGCTAGTTATTCATGTATCATCTGTTTCTAGATTCCGGAAGAAACAGTAGTCCTCTGCAACTACCTTTCTCAGATTTTATCAGGACATTTCTAATGCCACCAGCACATTCAAAATTTAAAGCAATTTTTACTGTTTGTGACCCTTTTCTGAAAGGAAGAGAGTGACATTTGTACAGTGCGCATCTACACCTTAAGACATTTGCCGCAGCAGACAGTATCTATTGGTACACCCGATGTGCTATGATGTTGACAGTTAAATCAGTAAAAGGCTACGACAATAAGAACACCATACACACAATGCACCTCACAGTATGGAATGGAATATTCTAATCTGTTTTTCTGTTCAACACCTCTTCAGGCACACTTACATATTTACTCTACCTGCAATCTTTTACCTAGTACTTATTATATATCTTGCATGCCTACTCCAAAATTAAGGATGGCTGCTGTTCACCCACTGCTGTTGTGGGAAATATTACCTAGTGAGGCTGTTGTGATGGAGATAATCTGTACCTCACCTCAGGTACCAGCAGGATGTGTTTTGGTTTTACGGATTCTCATGCAAGACTCCAGCAGCATGTCCCTGTCGTGCACTTTGGATAATGACTCATAAGGGCGTAAATCAAGCTAGCAGTTGATCCTGGAGTTGGTCCAGAGATGCAGTGCCAAGAGATCCTCTGGCACTTGTCAGCCCGCCCCTTGTACATGGGGATCAATGTGACCTGGTTAAGACATCTTTCACCCGAGACTTCTACTGCATGGCTTCTTGGGTTCTTCTTCTCCTCCTATGTTTAACTTCATCTAAGGATGTAAATGTGCTGTGATATTTGTGCCTTTAGCCTGACACATCCGACTTCTGCAGGCATCTGATGCCCTGGTTAGCCTTCCCAGTCAGTGGAAAAGGGCCCTATACTTACCAACAGCCACACATTGTCTGAGTGTAATGACATACAGGGAAGCCACGCCTGATGCATGCTTTCCATAAATGCTGCAAAAAGTACCCCAAAGCATTCACATGAAAGGTGTTATTGGTAAAAAGAAAAGACTAACTTGCTGAGGATGTGAGATGTCTATTTATGAGGGGAATCAGTCTCGGGCCTGCAGACGTTTCTTGGGGATCCTTAAAGAGTGCATCCCGTAATAAGCAAAAGGCTCAATACACAATGCCATGTATCGGCTCTGTATTTATGGAAGCTTCTTGAATAGCGGAAAATGCCAATACTCTGCTTCCTGTGAAAGGTCGTCCACTCTGCATGCACTGCACAGGTCCTCTAGGGAATGCGCCTGTGGAGCAGGGGATGATAACCTCACCACACATATAGGGCTACATGTGTCACAAAAAGCTAACCACAAAGGATAACCTGAAAAACAAGTGCCTGAAGAAGCTGGAGCAGGGGATGATGACCTCACCACACATATAAGGCTACATATGTCACATAAAGCTAACCACAAAGGATAACCTGAATAACAAGTGCCTGAAGAAGCTGGACATGTCACCCGAAAGGCGAACCTATCAAGAGTTGCTGTAAACATGCACAGTGCATTTAATTCACTCTGATGTCATGATGAAGAAAGCTGTGAAATGCATTGACTAACCTGCAAGAAATAGAGCTGAAATACTCCCTCTACTTTAACATATTTCTTCCTTGACTCCAGCAAAGGATCCTTTTAATGCTTTCAGGCTTACTGGGTATAAAGAGATAGACTTATCTGATAGACCAATGGGCAATAGGTGGGTGACATGGTCAGCATCGTGTTGGCTGCCTTTACTTCCCAGGCTTTACCTGATACCCATTTAAGGCTGGGTCGACCTGGGAGTCTAGGCCATTTTTTTGTAAAAGTCCGGCTCCAACACGACCTGAACACACCATCTTCAGGTCCACAAGTGAGCTTCTAGCTGCTACACCATGGCGGCTCCACTGACTGCAGTAACCACTGATTAAACAACTAAAAATAATGTGCTAAGTCAAGTTCACCACTCAAATTTATTAATTTACAACTCACAACATCCACCAACAAGAAAGCTTACTTCTTTTTCTTCCTTCTTTGAAAGAATGGTCTTGCCTTTGAAATTAGATGGAGTTTTGGTAAGTCTGTGCTTGTACTGAAAAATTAGATTCACACCTTTAAGATTTCACAAAGTTAAGGTTATGTAAAAAAAAGTAAAGGACCCTTTCCACGCCTTTAGGAGTATAAGGCATATAGGGCTAGACCTATATTTTTATAGACCAACGGCACAAGATGGGGGATGTGGTCAACATCAAGCCTTAAGGTTATGTATCGGGTTTTAATTATATCGGGGACATTCTGAGAGGAAGCACAGAATCAGAAAAGAGGTTTGATTCTGGAATGGAAACCTAATGGAATGAGGATATGAAAATGTCTAAGAGAAGCCTTACAACAAATGTTGATGAGACAGACAAAAGTGCCAGGCTAGGTTCTTCCTCTTTCTAACATTCACCATCTGTAAACTCCAACGGAAAGTTCTGATTGTTCGTCCACCCTGGACTTTAATCTTGTTTCAGAACTTGAGATTTTCATGCACATAAATTCTACAGATCTAACTTACCTGTATGCAGACTGTTGGTTTCTAGCCACTCAGGCAGTTGCAGTCTGACTTCACAGGAAACACCCCTAATTAGTCAACTTTTACGACATGCTTCAGACTGCAGTCAATCTACTCTCCCACCCCACCCCTTACTCTCACAATGGGACCCTGGAATCCACTTGAGGAAGACTGGATTCCATATAAAATATCAACCAGGATAGAACAAAATGGAAGAACTGTCTGTGAGATTTCTATAATTTATAACAGCTTAACAGGCTTATGAATAAATGAAATCTTGTTCTACAGACTGTGGCAACATCAGAATAATGTAACTTATCAACAGAAGAAGAGAATGATCAAATCAATCAGAATGCCACCGAAACTGGCACAAGATGATTACCATATTATGGACAGACCAGAGCAAGTCATTATCCTTCGCCTTAGAACAGGGCACAATCGACTTCGCTCCCACATGTACAACAAATTTAAGATTGGCCAATCAGCCATGTGTACTTGTGGACTGGCACCTGAAACAACAGATCACATCCTTCAAGACTGTCCCAGATTCAGCCCTTTCAGGCAAAACCTTTGGCCAAAAGAGACACTTGTGGAAGTCAAACTTTACAGGCCGCTTAGTGAATTACAAAAGACAGTGAAATTCATAATAGAGACAGCTTTGCAGATATAGACAATTTATTTCTTGCGAACGAAAGAAGAAGAAGAAGAAGAATAATAATGTAATACTTCACATATACTAGACTGTGGCAATATCAGAATAATATAATACTTCACATATACTAGACTGTGGCAATATCAGAATAATGTAATACTTCATATATACTAGACTGTGGCAATATCAGAATAATGTAATAATACTTCATATATACTAGACTGTGGCAATATCAGAATAATGTAATACTTCATATATACTAGACTGTGGCAATATCAGAATAATGTAATACTTCATATATACTAGACTGTGGCAATATCAGAATAATGTAATAATACTTCATATATACTAGACTGTGGCAATATCAGAATAATGTAATAATACTTCATATATACTAGACTGTGGCAATATCAGAATAATGTAATAATACTTCATATATACTAGACTGTGGCAATATCAGAATAATGTAATAATACTTCATATATACTAGACTGTGGCAATATCAGAATAATGTAATAATACTTCATATATACTAGACTGTGGCAATATCAGAATAATGTAATACTTCACATATACTAGACTGTGGCAATATCAGAATAATGTAATAATACTTCATATATACTAGACTGTGGCAATATCAGAATAATGTAATAATACTTCACATATACTAGACTGTGGCAATATCAGAATAATGTAATACTTCATATATACTAGACTGTGGCAATATCAGAATAATGTAATAATACTTCATATATACTAGACTGTGGCAATATCAGAATAATATAATACTTCATATATACTAGACTGTGGCAATATCAGAATAATGTAATAATACTTCATATATACTAGACTGTGGCAATATCAGAATAATATAATACTTCATATATACTAGACTGTGGCAATATCAGGTGCCTTGCCGACTAGCGTGGGCAATAACTGATTATGCCTTTCCACAATCTGCGATCTCCTGCAGCATGTATTAGTTTGTGTGCTGACACACTTCCATGCCATGCAACAAGACTGTCAAGAATCTTCTTTCGTATTTTTCTATCTCTCCTTCCACAGATCTTTCCACTGGTGACAACATGTTCCATTTTCCTCCTTCTCATAACATGGCCAAAAAATGATGACTGTCTACTTCTGATGTTTGTAATTAGTTGTCTTCGGGCTCCCGCCTCTTTCAAAACCTTTTGGTTGCTCTTTTTGGCTGTCCAGGGTATTTTAAGCATTCTTCTGTAAAACCACATCTCTGAGGCCTCAAGAAATTGTTTGTCCTGCCTACCGATTGTTCAGGACTTACAGCCATGTTAAAACTGGATGTATGTAGCAAGCAAGAATTCTTTTTCTAACCCTCAATGACAAAAATATATTGCATAAGATGTTCTTCATTTTATAAAATGCAGTTTTTGCCTGTCCTATTCTGTTTCTTATCTCAGACTGTGAGAACTACGACAAGCTGCAAAACAGGACATTGGTGATGATATGCTACATGCTAATGACATTATATAAATGTTTATACTTAATCCGGACTCAGAACCTGAGTTTGGCATGAACATCCGTTTTACAGATCTGATTTACCTGCATGCAAACTGTTGGTTCCTTGTCTTTCAGGCAGATGCACCTCAATTAGCTGGCTCTTATGATAAACTTGTTAGGGGGCAGTGGATCTATACTTTTTCTTTTCTTCCCACAGTGGGGTCCCAGAACCCACACAGTGATGATTCCTTTATTATTAACAGGTACTGACTACCTTGTCATTTGACAATTAAGGACACAAAATTGAAATCAAAGAAAACAGAACATACTCACAGAATCATGTCTGGGCAAGTGACTTCGCAAGGTACTCCTAGGAATACTATATACTTTGGCTGCCTCTCGCTGAGACATGCTGCCACTGATAACTGCATCCACAGCTGCTATCATCACCCGCAGATGTTCTGCATTGCTTCGAGGCACAACCTGACTGTCTTGTACTTGAACCTCCATGGCAATCAATTCACTGATCTGAGCAAATGAAAGAAACAATATTGACTGCTGTGGTGTTAAAGAACTCCTGTTATTAATTTATTCATCACAAATAGTGAACGTATGATCATTTGTTATTTGCTGACAAAATCAAATCTTGATGGGAGGTCATAACAATCACAACTACACATTCATAAGGAAAAGACGACAGATTTTCTTCTTCTTCTCATGCATTCTGAGCCCTAAAGGTACACTGCTGCAGGATTATCAGCCTCCATTTATTTCTGAGATTTATCTTTTTTCCAGATGGTGACGCCAAGTCTTTGCAAGTCCATCTGTATTTTATCTCTTGTGTCCCAACAGAAAATTCTAAAAAACTCTAAAGAATGACAGATGCAAGAACAAATGCTACAATGGTTGTGGATTTTTTTTTTTTGTAAACTAAAATAATTACTAATTTAGTAAGCATTTTACAAGTTAATTAGAAGTGGGTCAGACGGTGGTCTGGTGCAGACATGTTGGATTTGAAGCAAAAACAATAATGCCACTAACACACAACAAATTTCACACTTTCTAGTAGCCAATCCTCGTTAAATTTCCCACACTTATGTAAAAGTGAATGCAGAATTCAAAAATAAACCAGAAATTGCAGTAATCTGGCTAATTAAGGAGACAGTTGCGAACTTACTTCCTGTGAAATTCGCTGTGTGCTGCCACACAAAAAATAGATTTATCATTTGCGAGCTAAACCACTGTCAGGTCACAGCCCAGCATCTCTTCAATTGTAATTATAATTGTTTCAATTTGCAGAAAAATTATTTCGTAATGGCGGTCATTGTGGCCTTGTTTTCTGGGTCGCAGTGCATCCCTCATAATGAGTGAAAACCAACATGGCATCTCAAAACTTTCAATTTGACCATTAGCATATCTAACATCTAAAGACAATAAAACAAAGAAAATTGAAATATTTTGGTCACTTGAAACGTCATGGAAGTCTAGAGAGAACAATAATGGAGGGGTATATGCCTGGGAAGAGAGGAAGAGGAAGGCCAAGGAGAAGATGGGTGCAGGATGTGGCAGATGATCTCCAGATGGGTGTATCAGACGCAGGACATCTTGCTCATGATAGGAAGGTTTTCCGGAGGGTTGTTATGGCAGCGAGGTTCCGCGAGGGACATGCTACTGAATGAATATCTAACATTATTAAACAAATTAAAACATTATCATTATGATTGAAAACAAAACATTTTGATTTGACAATAATGTAAAAACAAGTTTTTTGGCTCTACTTTCAAATTTGGCTAGTAAGCTGGACTGCTTCGGCCGGCTTAGCGGGGCTTAGTGGGAATATTTCCTGTGGCCGCACTCAAAACAAGTCGCGGAAAAAGTCACGAATCAAATGGCATACTTACCTATCATCATCCGGGTGCGTGTAGGGTTGCGTAGGGTGTCTATCATCGTCCTACGGTTGCGTGTAGGGCTGCTTATTGCGTGTAGGTTGGTTGTTTGCGTAAGATGAGGGGTAGGGTTAGGGTTTAGGGTTAGGGTTTAGGGTTTAGGGGTTAGGGTTAGGGTTTAGTGTAGCATTAGATGTGACAGTTGTGACGCCGTAGTTCCTTATAATCGCGCACAGTCGCATGCACGCGCAAACAGTCGACGGACGGTGGATGCTACTGACACGGACAATTCGCCACCGATTGGGCACCAGCCGCGCGCTATTGCCGTCATATTTGGCACACTTCCAGTGGCGCCAGTCCCACAAGCATCAGATTGTCGACCATTATTTTGACCTCCTACGTGAAAATTTTCACATCTAACCCTACCCCTAACTCAAACCCCTAACCCTAAACCTAACCCTACCCCTCATCTTACACAAACAACCAACCTACACGCAATAAGCAGCCCTACACGCAACCGTAGGACGATGATAGACACCCTACGCAGCCCTACACGCAACCGTAGGATGATAGGTAACCCTAGACGCAACCGTACGCAACCCTACATGCACCCGGATGATGATAGGTAAGTATGTCATTTGATTCGTGACTTTTTCCGCTCGTTGTTTTGAGTGCGGCCACGGGACATAACTCCCACTAAGCCCCACTAAGCCGGCTGAAGCAGTCCAGCTTACCCGCCAAATTTGAAAGTAGAGCCAGTTTTTTTTACGACTATCAACAATCTGCATGCAAATGAGTCAGACCGGTGAAATGGATGTGCACGCAACACTCGGTTTCTGAAACAGGACTAGAGTCCAGAAGTGAACGAACAACTAGAAGTTTCCCTCGGTGTTATCAGCTGGTGAACGCAAAGATTAGAAAGAATCTAAAGAATTGAAAATTTGAACTTACAAAGTCAGTATTTAGATCGTACGTAATTATAAAAGTCTTAACTTAAGTTTGGGTACTCCTGTCAAATCCGGACGAAGAATAAACAGCCTTGGACGACTTAGTCAGAGTTCTCTCCCGTCGCCGCACTCCAAACAGTGATCGGAAAAGCGACAACGAAACAAAGAAGACAGTCACGTCGACATCAGGGCTGCCAATGCTAGGTTGTTTCCCCCAGATCTGGTTTTTTTTCGACGCTGCAGGACAATTCCGGGTGTTTTTTTGCGTGTATTTTGTTTGTTGGTGTTTGCCGATTTGTATGCTTTAATGATCGATAAATTTGCGTGGTTAGGGGGTAGGGGTTAGGGTTAGGGTTAGCGGTAGGGTTAGGTTTAGCGTTAGATTTGACAATTTTGACGCCAGAGTTCCCTATAATCGCGCACAGTCCCATACACACACACAAACAATCGACGGCCTCTGGATGCTGGTCAAACGCACAATTCGCCAACGATTGGGAGCACCAGCCGCACGCTATTGGCGTCATATTTGGCAGAGTTTCAGTGGCGCCACTCTCACAAACATCAGATAGTCGGCCAGTATTTCGAAATCCTACGTCAAAATTTTCACATCTAACCCTAACCCTACCCCTAACCCTAACCCTACCCCTAACCCTACCCCTAACTCTAACCCAACAACCGCATGATGACTACACACCCATTCACGATGCCTCACGCAACCGTACGCAACCCTGCAAGCAACCATATGATGACCACGCATTCCTTCACGATGCCTCACGCAACCGTACGCAGCCCTACACGCTACCGCAGGATGATAGCTAAATGTGTCGTTTGTTTCGTTTGTTTTCCGATTACTGTTTGGAGTGCGGACACGGGAGAGAACTCTGACTAAGTCGTCCAGGGCTTTTTAGTCTTCGTCCGGATTTGACAGGAGAGCCTAAGTTTGTTTTTTCTAAATTTCTTAGGTATACTGTCCTTTTATTTTCTGTCTAGTAGTACTACTATAGTACTACTAACTACTACTACTAGTAGTACTGTCAGTACTAAGTACTAAGTACTAACTACGGTGTGTGTGTCTACTGTCTACTGTCTGAAACTTTCGAGGTTTAATAACTTCCACGTTCAAATTAAATATTGCCATCTTGTCGGAACTATGTATTTTAAATTACTCACATTTAACAACTGAGTAACACATTAGCAAGTGCTTGAAGTAAACATAAAAACGATGTAATGCTTAAAACAGGTTGAGTGGTAACTTCTGTTTACTGGCAGATCTGTCATCACGACAACTTATCGAAATCTTCATCTCGTCTGTGACTTGTAGGATGCCAGTTAGGACATTAACGGCCAACAACTGTTCATTCAGTCAGTCAATCAATGAGATGTCGTCTCCACAATAAATGTTGACTGCAGTAGATCTCTGATTGATAGTCTCCTGTCTCTTTTCTTGGTAAGTATACTGTCTCATAGTGATTTCGTCCATCTCTTTATGTTGTCCTCCGATTTGCATCGTTGTCTAGTTGTCTACTTTTGACTCTCTGGCCTTTCACATTTCCATCTAGTTAAGTTTTTGATTTCTTAATTAGTGTTGTGTGTTTTTTTTTTAACGTTTAAGTGTTGTGGCTTTTTTTTTTAAATTTCTAATAAGACATTGTCTTTTCGTACCCACTCTCTTTAGAACTCTATTTGATTGTTTGACAACATCAATTGAACGATACATCTGTGAGTCCCCTCCGAAAAGCAGCCAAACGTTTACAATACCATCCTCAGATTTTTAAATATCAGTCTGAAAGGCAACAGCGCAGATCCCAAACAACCTGCTCAACCTATTCATTCATTCCGTTGCATGTCCCTCGCTGCCATAACAACGCTCCGGAAAACCTTCCTATCATGAGCAAGATGTCCTGCGTCTGATACACCCATCTGGAGATCATCTGCCACATCCTGCACCCATCTTCTCCTTGGCCTTCCTCTTCCTCTCTTCCCATGCATATACCCCTCCATTATTGTTCTCTATAGACTTCCATGACGTTTCAAGTGACCAAAATATTTCAATTTTCTTTGTTTTATTGTCTTTACTAGCCAACCCTCTTCAATATTCAGCTCTTGAAGTATGGATGCATTTGTTCTTTTCTTTACCCAAGATATTCTTATTCTCAACCTATAGAAACGTATAATTAGGACACCAGCAACGGCTAAAGCAGCCAAATTAATCCTTCCCTCCCATGCGGGTAAAAGCCTATGGCAACAATTTCTTGTATCTTGGCACATAGTTTGAATGAGCTGTGGGAAAATCTGGCAGAGTAATGTTATCAGCACAGAACCGTGTTTCAGTCAAATCCAACGGATTTATCGTCATCATCATGTGGTTTACCGGTAAGCGTAAACTGTCGTGTTTCGCCACTTCACACGATCACCATAATCGTTTATCAGGACAGTGTCCTTGCCTCGCCCCATGCTTATGCAAAGCGATCAAGTCTTTATCTCCCTGCTTTCCCTTTCTACCAATCTAGCCAGCTACCAAGTTCTCGAGTCCATTCGTTCTCATAACTGACATGTTCGAAAAAAAAAACTCTATGTCAAATTAGTAATTGTTCTGATTAGTTTACGACTTTTATCTTGTCTCGCGAAAAACGAGGGCGGGGGGGGGGGGCTGCGTGCCTTGATGCATGATGTCCGC